AATTGGATCAATAGGACTGGAGCTGGAGAGAAGAGAAACATCAGTATATCTGTATAGTCTCGAGATTCTGCCTCAGTGACCAAGGCCTCATGTTTGCAGTGTGCTGCTGTGAGATCTATTGGCCTTTACAATGCAGGAGAGATTCATGTTGTTTATCAAAGGAATTTGCCAAAAAATCAGGAATAATTAATGAGAGATGTAAGCTAAAGTGAAGATTGAAGAAAAAGGTAATTATTCCTAGATATCGTAGATGAACAAGGTATTTGTTAACCGTGCCATTGTAGCAGTTATTCAGGTTACATTATTATCAGTAAGCTTGGTAGATATTACCTGTTTGATGTGACAAGTATTGAATCTAATAAAGAAATGGCCTGTACCTGCTGCTATCATTTTATTACATTTTTTTATGTAGTTCCCCAGGGATTTCTTACTAGGGCTAGCTAATCTGTTGACATGTACATATAGAGTTGTGGTTAGTGCCCATCTCCTAGCTCCTATCACCATCTCCATGAACTCTCGGTTGAGAGGGAAGTAGTCTTGAGCGTCAGAGGCAATTGATTTTTTATTTTAAGGAATCCTGTCAAATAAAAATACAAAACCTGCCGCTCGGTCCATTTTGACACTATGTAAACAGAACTGCTTCAGCAGCTGCTGTCCTGAAAGCCCTGCGTAAAATGATTACGTCAATGGACATCAGACAGCCATTTGATGCTGCAGCTCAGCAAATTCATTGGTTTCTCCTCAGGTGAGTCTGGGTTTTAACATATAAATCTCATTCTGAGTGACTGCTACAACAGAAGCTATGGAAATCTGACTTTTATATAACTTGATGTGTTGGAAGGTAATTATATAGTGATGCTCTGGTTATCATTGTCCTCTAAGTCATGTTGGTTTCGCTGTATGAATTAAGATGAAAATTCAAATTTATTGTGGTCAGCTAATTAAGTCAAATTACCTAACTCTGTGCCTTAATTACAGTAGATGCAAATTTTGAAGTTTATTTTCATTTGGCATGTTTTTCATTTTTAGCATTAATTTACATTCTGATATTTTTTCAAGGCTCACAGCTTTTTAAATTTTAATAATTAGAGCAAACTGATTTATGAAAAGTCTTAAACTATGGTATTTTGCAGTTTCTTTACATATTGCAGTATTTTTTGTTTATAGTTTCTTGTTTCTCTCTTTTGATACTCCTTTAGCTGAAGGTATATTTCCAGTTTGAACAAAATTGTCATTTTCTTTCAAACTCTGTTAATCTTATTGATTTTGCTTGTGACAGTTTGAAATAGGATTTCTTAAGGGACTTTGGGGATAAAGTGATTTAATTTATTTGTTTTAGACTTTAAAGATCATTTGTGTGTGCTTCAAAATATAAATTGAGCAAACAAACTCCCCTGCCACGCATTGCTAGTGGCTAATATACAAATATCAACCCCAATGCATTGGAGCTGAATGTAGTGACATTAAAAATTAATCTGTCTCTCACCATCTGTCTTACACCCCCAATATCAGCCTACATTTAACTGAAAACAAATAAAACTTAGTGGATGTAGTTTTCTAAGGAAGGGATTATTTTGAAGTTGTTTGATTGAAGAAAACTGTGTAAAAAGGAGAAAAGAGGAAGTTGGTTTTAAAAAAAATGATGGGACATTTTAGAATTCACCTCTGTTTAAGGAAGATTCTTTATTTGCTTGAAGTTATTAACTTACTTTAAGGTCATTTTAAAAGAAGAATGCTGAAAAAAATGTATCATCAGTCAAACTTCTTTATCTTGATTTTGATGAGACCAAAATGGAAATTTTGAGATAACCAAGAATTTAAAATAATGAGGTCAGAAAACTTACAATACTGTTTAATCATTTTAATTTGTGTGGGGTGGGGATGGGTGGGGTTATCGTTCTTGGACAAGCAAAATTTTACATGTTCATTGGGATGTAATTACTTGGGTTTCTCCTTTACATGATATATTCAATAAATTGATATGTTGGCAAAGTAAGCATTCATGGGGATGTATTGAATTTGTGGGTAAAGGTGACCCATGAAATCTACAAACATTGGCCCCTCTTGGACATTAATGATGATTCCACATGAACATGTTTGGGACTTCCAACTTGTTTTGATATATTTATTGTATCAGTGATACAATCTTATAAGTGGTTATTTAATGATTTTAACTTGTTTCAGTTTCAAAGAAAAAGGAAGTCAATATTTACTGCCTCTTTATTTTCTTTGAAATATGTTTTCTAACAAGCACATCAAGGGGTTGAATATCAATTAAGATGGTCACAATCTGCAGTATTTAACTAGGTCGACTCTGACCTTGATTTTATTCTGACCTTATCCAACAACTGCAGCTATAATTTGATATAACTAAGATGGTGTCATTGGGAGAAAAAAAGGCATCATGATGAACAGTAATTGATTTGTAAAAATAACTTGTGTATGGTTAACCATTAGTCGCAAAATATAAATGATTGGGGTGACCTAGGCTGCAAACATTTCAGAATTTTTATGGGGAAAAGATTAAGAACAAGTCCTCAATGACAGGCTTTTGAATAGCCCATAGTATTGATTGGAAACCCCCTAGAAATTGAAAATAATTATTTTCATCAGGGAAGAGCCAGGATGAGAATGTGCCATTGGTATTGATTTTAGTCAAGTATACACAGGTTTGGATTGTATTTAGATCAAGTCTCTGATTTCTCTCACATACTCAGGATTTTAAGGAATTCCTTGTTTGAATTTGCAGTTTTGACCCCACATTATCACACACTGTAACATAGTTTTGCTATTTAGCTTTTTGTAATATTTGTGGGTAATAATTTAATGCAAGAGTTTGTCAGATGTGTTGTGTATTTTCCTTTTTTGGTGTGTATGGCCTACAGCTTCATCCCTCTACATTGAACACAATGATAATATCAAGTGTATAGGAAAAAAGGTAAATATTGACGGAGTTTATGTATTTGTTTTGGATAATGTCGTAGGTGAGGTTAATGCTTTGAATGAGGGATAGATTGAGATAGAAGACAATACTAGCATTAAGAACAATAGAAATACTAATGTTTGCCTGTGCCATCTACAATGGTAGCAGAGTGGTCCTCAGGAAAGCTGACTATCAATGTGTTGGCTTAATTAGCTTTAATTGATGTGAGTGGCTATCAGATTGTATTGACTGGTGCTGATTAGATCTGTGACATTCTGGGAGAAGTCTGGAACTGGTCACTGATCTCCTGCCGTCTATTGGAGCTGACTGCCAAGGCTTACATATCTCAACAGTATCTCTAGTAACAAGTTGTTATTAAACATCTCCACTGCAAAGAGCTCGTTCACCTTATGCAAAAAATGGCCTCATCAATATACATATGTAATAATTAAAGGACCGACTACATGTATATTAATCCAATCTCAGTCCTTAACTTACCAGTAATATAAAATTTATCTATCTTGCTTAATCTTGCACTATTTTTGCTCTATATGCACATTGGCAGTGCCTTTGAAATTATACTAATTGGATGGGAAATGCCTGTACATCTAAACAAACCATAAACTGCTTTCAATAATTTCAATGCTATTCTCAACAACAATACATAAAGTACCTATATCATAGTTTGTTATATATCCCCACTCCATCAAGTCAAGGCAGTGTACGTCCTAATTTTGTAGGGAGTGTAACAAGGAGGGTCCCTCACTCAGTCGTTCTTCCACCACACAAACACATATTCTTCCTTTTGATTATCGATCATCATCTTCCATTCATGACTAAATATTATATTTTTTCAAAAAATTGATGAATTCATTATTGTCTATCAATGTGCCTATATTTTGAAAATTTCTTCCAAAATGACCAAGTATTTCCAACAGAGCACATCCAATCCACAATTTTAATACAAGCTTAGTACGACTTTTATTGAAGTTTATTACATATGGTACATGTATGTATTTGTGTAAAATTTTGTGATGGAGAGGGGATTCAAACACTTGAATGGCCAGCCCAGAGTCTGATCTAGATATTTTTGAAAATAGTTGGGGAAAAAATAAAAAACAAACATAATGTTAATGTTCAAGATCTGAGAACCCCAGGTACCCTGGCAGTGGGCGCTATGACAGGCCTGGGAAAATGTTCTGCTACAGTTCATTTAGATGCTCCATTTTGTGAAGAATTAAAGCAGCATTAAAGTCAAAAGACTGTCTTACAAAAAAAATTTATTAAGGTTGGTACAAGTTTAATTTACATGTAAAATTTGATAAAACTTGGGTGACTGTTTTGTGTACATTGCCACCATTTGTACATGTACAGATTGCTTTTTCATTGCAATTTATTTTTGCAGTTCGAAGCATGCAGGGGCAACCACTATCTAAACTGCATAAAATTATACCAATTTGGCAAAATTTGCATGCTGTTGCAGTGTTTTTGAAAATTTTTCTGACATGTTGCTTTTTTATTTCTAAACAAATGGGCATGTCATTATGTTAAAACTGACATTCTGTAAGAATTTTTTTAGACTGTCCACATATTCCATCCAAATGTAAAATGATATCAACTGTACAATCTGAATGTATTAATCATTGTACGTGTATATTGTCCTTTATTCACAGAAAAATGAAAAGTCATAAAAAAAAGTCTAATAAAAAATAAAATAAATAAATCAAATAAGAAAGGAAGATAGAAAAAGAGAAATATTTATAATTTAGTGAAGGTTAAATCAATTTTAAAGATATAAAGCTTGCTTGTAAGACTAATCATATGCAGGTCTGATCCTCAGAGGTACACTTAAAAGGAAACTGAAACAGGAAAAATTTAAAGAAAAAAGCTTTTCAGAGTAAAACAATTTTTCCGTCTTTCCAATGTTAAACTGATCTCCTGAGATTTGATAAGTGCATCACAGAGAGGGAGACTGTATGTGCAGTAGGAGATCTATTGTTATTTTTTTTGCCGTTACTTCCTGTTTGAGGGTAAAGAGGACTGATGATCTAGGAAATAAGACAACAATTAGTGTCTGTGTACACACTGCAGGGAGACAATACACTATATGATAGTTCTGTGGCCTTAGGTGTAGTAATTGTATGTCACATGTTTAACTCGTAATCTCCGCTGTCACTGCATATACAGCATATACAGGCCATAAAATATGTAACATATCATGGGATGAATATTTATCAGATGTATTTTTTTGGTATAATATTAAATTATATCAGTACCATGAAGTGAAAGTTATTGTGAAAGCCCAGAAGATAGTACTGCTCAGTACTAGGTGTTATCTGGTATATTATCCATCTCTGGACAAATCAACTGCATTAAAACACTATTTCCTTCTACAGAATAGTATATTACAGTGAAAAATTGTTCAGTGGATGTGTATGCTGGTGAATTAGGGAAGCTTGTTTTAGTATCCCTGGTACATGCCGGCTGTGACAGAGATAAGGACTCTAGCCCCCAAGGCAGGGCACCTGTCAACAATGTGTGACTTGCTTGATTGATTGGTCGACGACAGTACAGGACAACACACCAAACAGTTACTGTGCTGGCTAACAGTCACTACTATCTATTGGATTATTGACAGTTATCAACAAAAAAATAATTTCCTGGGTTAGAGATTCACCCAGGTATGTGTTTGTGTTTGCTGTGTAAACAGCTTTGTGGATAGTGTTCTAACCGGACTACGTGCCTCGACTTTGGCGGTCTTGGGTTCTTTGGTTGCTTTGGAGGAATCTCTTCATATATAAGTAAGGGACAATGTATCAGTCAAATTACACAGGTACAACAAACACCTGCATCAGTACGTCTGAGATATTCCGCAGCTGTCTGTTGCCTGACTTTCTGTGATATAGTAAACAATTTTAATATCGTGAAAGTCATCTAGGGTGTTTTTACTTCATTGTAGGCTAAAGGCCATATTATATTTCGTGAATTTTTTCAGTAATTGTAAGCACACTACAGGGCTGATAAGTTTGAAGATATAAAATATTTATCCTTCAAGGTATGGGATCTTTAATGTAGTAAGTAAACTCCACATTATTTGAACTCACCTTTATTGAAATATATTGTTCTTTTAAATCTGTAATAAAGTGCTTCAGTGCTCTGTTTTCATAAAATTCAAGCAATGCTTAAACACATAATTTGTTGTTATTTAAAAAAAAAAAACTAGAGTATATTAGTAATTTTAATAACAGAATTTCAGCATGTTTTTAAGAATTTTTTTTTCTTGATTTCAAGTATAGCTAGCTAGTACTTTCACAATTTTCCATGAGTACAAGTACACTCAAATCTATTGTAAATGAGGGCTTCTTTAGTCTTCATTGAAAAGAAAGAAAGATGCCCTATTCAGTTATCAATGTTATATTCTCTGTATAAGACAGGTTGATTTGCTGCTGGTACAGACTTTTTTTTCTCAGGTGCTTTCTTTAGTATGGCATATTGAACCAAACCAGTGTCTGCCAACCTCTGATGAAGCTGTATTGGGGCTATTTCTGCAGTTGATTGTTTCTGCAGCTATCATTAAACAAGGCGATCAATACTTGACATTTTTATGATACAATGAACTTCTCCTATTGATTGACCATCTTTCTATTAATTGTGTAAAATGGGTGGAATATTGAAATTTTGGGAGCTGACTCTTTGTTTTTGGATTAGATGCTCTTCAGTGTGATCCACATAAGGTTATGTATGGATGCCTGGATTGTCATTTTACACTGTAAGGGCTAGCACTTTAAATTCTGTCATTTCTTTGTATTGCTGCATAAATGTAGATACAGCATTTGTCTTCTTCAGTTGTAGGTCAAAGGTTACTTTCATTTATTATCTCTATATATTCTGATTTAACTCTCAGAACAGCTAAGTTGATCTTATTGTTTTTCCTGGGAGATGCAAAAAAAATCTTAAGAAAATTTTCTTTTGCAAAGAAGCTTAAAGATGCACTTGGAATGAAACAGTTAGGTGGTGGTTATTGTTGCATGCATATTCTTTACTGACTTGGAGTCAGCATGACTTCCAGATATGGTTGTGTAATAAAGCTGAAGTGGCATGCACTGCATATTAATGGCTGAATTAACTTCAGTTAAAGATGATTTTACTTGTGTTATGATAATGTTTGACTTAAAAATTAAAGAAACAAGTTTGCATTTTTTAGTTGCAGAGAAGTTAACTTTTTTTTCAAAAATATATAATATATTTACTACAGGCCAGTTCCTTATTAAAAATGGAATCAATTAGTTTAAAGTTCTTTTAAAAGGTTTTCTTTTTTCATATTGCTAATGCTAAATTAACTCAGATGTCTTCCTTGAATGTCAATAATTAATTAAGTATTATGTTATCTCTGATTTCTTTCATTATTTTGTCAAAGCTGTATATTAACACATAAGAGTTCTCATGTTAGTCTATGAATAATTAAAATACCCGATATAGAGAGGAGAAACTGTAAAACAGAGAACGAGGATGCTGAATACCTGAAATCTCACAGGTGGTAGAAAGGTTAATTTGTTGATATTTTCCTCAAATTAATGGGGAAAATCACGTTCTGATATTGATCTTTACGACAGAGAGAAGTAAAGGGAAGGTCATTGGATAACAATAATAACCAATGATTGGTTCTGTAATATGTCCTTATGCTGTGTTGATATACTTTTATAAACTCTCATGTAAATGATGGCATTTAGAAATGGTGTAGGAGTGTTAAGGCTCTATTTGACCTTAACTTTATGTTTATAACAAAACAGAGGCAAGGAAACCAAAAAAAGTGTACTTTTATTAAGGTATTTCAAATACCAGTAAGTGCTAATAAGTGGTTGCATTGTAATTAAATTGAGATTTAAGCAACTGATACAAAATGCAATGAAAGTAAACAGGTTGTTGACAACGTTATGTGCACTAGGTTAATTAGCAATGTCTGTTGTCATTTCAGGTATGTGATGTGTATATAAAGCCAGTAGCTATTACATGCAGTCGCGTGTCCGTCAACCATTGGATTAGTTAATCCCTTCAACAATGTCATAATTTTCATGGAGTGTATTTATGTTTTCCTTGTGGATTACCAAAATGTGATAAAAAGTAAAACGAGCTGCCCACCGATTATTGAATTACGTGGGGACGATCACAGACCCAGGGCTCCCTAAGGCCGGAGGAGCAAGATGAAAATGTCCTTTGATAATTCCACTGAAGTTTTCCAAGTGGAGGGTAAGTGCTATTAATATATTGCTACTTGTAATTGATATGTTTCATGTCTTTTTTCCACATCACTGGTCTTGTAGCATTTCTCTACTAGATGCTAACTGTGATGGAACAAGATGGAGAGATTACTGGTCACTTTTTTATCAATTAATGTTTATCTTATTTTCTTTTACAAATGGACTTTAATAGATAAACTAAGATGTATTTGGTAAAAGAATAGATGTCAGTCACCCACATGGTTAGAGCGTCTGCTCTAGAGTCGTGAAGTAATTAAGTAAGTCGTGAGTTTGAATCCTACTGTGGGACGTGGAGATTGATACTTTGGTTGAGACCATTTAAACTGAGGTTCCGTGTTGTAGTAGATATGGGCACAGAAAAGATCCCTCACTGCTTAATGACCATGAGTGCAGAGTATAGGACAAAATTTGTAGCTCCCCACCATCAAGTGGTGGCATCTCCATGTGAGTGAAAAATTCATGAGAGGGGTGTTAAACAACAAACAAACATAGAACACTATGTAATATGTTCACACATTTCAATGATTAATGAAAAGACAACATACTGTCTTGGAAGTTTCTTGATAATTGATAATTTTCTCAAATAATATGACTCAACTCATTAAAAATACATAATTTAAAAAATGAAATTTTTATTTTCTAGCAATGAAAACATAAATACATGTATTAATTTTCTGTCTACTTTATTGGTTTGAAAAGTGTAAAAGACTACTTGAATAAAGATTTCTTGATGAATTAAATGATGACTATGCACTTTTTTCTTTAAAAAAAATTGTATTAAAAGGCGTCAAATCTAAAAACGTGATTTATTTTATGTTGGAATATTTTTGTGAACTATTGCTTGGATTGTGTTCATTATTTAGCTGCAGAACTGTAGCTCTCCAAAAAAATATATATTTGGTAGACCGGAGAGCTACAGTGCCACCCATTGAAAAAACTGTATATTTATTGCGCACAAAAAAATGCGCTGTTTCTGGATTAATTCTTCCAAATTCTTACCTCAACTGCAAAAAAGCTAGATTTCAATAATGTCCTTACTCCTCTATTAATTACTTTTGTAGTTTACATCTATACGAAGCACGTTGGACCGAATTATCTTGAAAACCAAAATGGCATTGTAAATTGGTGAAATTTTCGATGATCTCAATTTCAGGACCAGGAGGGCTATTAAAAACAATTATAAGGAATGTTTTGTTGTTGAAACAGTGAAAGAATATGTTAGGAACACATGGTTAGTAATATTTTGAAATGACAGTTTTAAAAACGTGAAGAAATAAATCGAAAAACAGCGCACTTTTTTTGTGCGCAATAAATATACAGTTTTTTCAATGGGTGGCACTGTAGTTCTTCGGTCTATCAAATACTGAGTATATATTTTTTCGGAGAGCTACAGTTCTGCAGCTATTCATTATTATGCTCCCAACTAATCAAAGGTTCAGGGGTATATAGTTTCTTGCCCTGTCTGTCTGTCTGTTTGTTAGCAAAAACTCTAACCTTCCCATAACTTTTTACTAGGTACTGCATTGGGGCTATGGCTTTCATATTTCACAGGTGTATTCCATGTGTCAAGACTTTCCTCTTGATACCAACAATTTTTACATTTTTACCTTGACCTTGGAGTTTGAATTGCATTTGAGAAACTTTAATCTTCACCATATAAAGCTGCCACACTGGGGCATCCGTGTTTCACAAACACATCTTGTTTCCTCTCATATAATAATGATGTGTTACTATACAGTATACAGTGGACCTTCAGATATCCGGACGCCAGATATCCGGATGCTTCAGTATCCGGACGATTTTTCATCGGAACGATATTTTAAAATGTTATTCTGTCTTGTTTAACTCGTGATTCAGATATCCGGATGCTTCACATATCCGGACAAATTGACTGGGAACCAAAGCGTCCGGATAAATGAGGGTCCACTGTACACATGTATGAAACTTTTTTGATGTTATCATATTTAGTCTAACTCATTACTCATCTAAGATGGATGTGTCAAATACAAAATTTTATGCAATTAACATGGATTTCAGCACCAAAACTGAATATTACTGTAATGTACTCAGTTACCCGTCAAATCAGGGAATATTGTTAAGTTTGGATCCATGTAGGTCTGTTTGAAAAATTAGAGTTACACTGTATTTCCAATAAAACAAGTTTATGTATTGTAACAAAATGATCTTTTTTTACAACTGGGAGGAAAAATCATTAAAATTGGAAGGCATCTGGTACAATGTTCTAAGGACTAGTTCATGATATGTAGGAAATTGTTTGATAAATTATGCATGGGTACATATGTTAGTACTTGACACTTTATTGGTTGACTTCTCAGGAAACTTTTAAGTGGGGTCACTAGAGTAACTTTACAAATAATTCATGAAATCCACCAAGAGATTAAAAAATATGTTTTATGCTTCATGTCACCTTGACATAGATATAATACCATAGGTTGATAGTGGATAGAACATGCAGGGTAGCCTCCTAGTAGGCTCATAGTAGACTGTTATTGGGTTAAAGCTTACACGGACACAAGACTTAATTGATATGATTTCACTTATTGGTGATCCTCATCTTCAAACCTTAGGGAGGCAAAGATTTAAATAAATAATTCTGAATAACAATTTGAATGACAATATCATTCAGCAGTCTTGAATCATTACACGTCCTGACATCATTTCAAACCAGTAGTAGGTGGAGGAGGGGGCTAGAGCAAAAAACTGGTATGTTGGCATCATTTTACCCAGTATTTCAGTTGATCCTAGAAAAGAATACAATCAATACATGGTTATGCTACTTTAAGCTTTTTTTTGGGGGGGGGGGTGGTTCTATTTTAAGCACTCTTTAATAACAAGCATTACTGAAATGGCCATGGTAGTTTAATAGAATATTATAATGAAATATAGCAATTATACTAAAAGGATTGTATTATATATTTTGGAGGGGGGGGGGGATGTAATTGCACAAATTTTCTTGGATTAAAAAAAAAAGAGTGACTTTTTTAGAAGGGGTGGGCATCAAATTTTCTTGGGTCGAAAAAAAAATGCTTTGTTGAGATTTAATTTCATGGATAAAAAACTTATGAGTAGCTATATCTGAATTTTTTTTAGTAATTCTTTGCTACGCCTTTAGTCAAGTGTGTTTTAGTCTCATGAATTTGTCTGCACAGTACATGACCTTGTTTTTAAGGAATTATTATGAATGAAGGATACTTGTTTTGTAAATCATTTCCTTATCTAATTTCCTGCTATGCTGTGTGTATGTTAATGTTTTTGTATCCATGCAGTCAAATTTGCATATTTTTTATCAATGAGCTAAAAGTTCCTTGTCAGTTGACATGCATATGAGAATGCCCTGGCACAGAGTCTAGCATGCCTCCTGTGAGGGTCATATTTAAGGTGAAAGAAGGGGTTCTTATGCTTGAAACAAAAGGTAGATGCATATATTTTTTTTCATTTTTTGCAATAAATTGATAGTTTCTTATAACTGTACATTCAAAAAATTTGTTTCCATGCACTATTTTTAAATATATGCTGGAGTTCCTCATTAGCAATATCTAATTAGTCTTTGGACTTTCATCAATCTGTGGGAATTCCAATGTGGGCTAATTGTGCCCCTTAATTAGCCAACCTTTTTTTCTCTCATAAAAAAGGAAGTTTCTTGCAATTGCCTTCAGTCATTCAGGTGACAATATTTTTAAAAATAAACTTAAAATATTTATTTTGAAATTCATTCATTTGGTACCGTATATACTCGCCTATAAGTCGGTCCGCCTATAACTCGGTTGAATTTAATAAGCTTATATATCAGAGGGACTGACCTCATATAACACCATTCTTTTTATAACTCGCAAGTGTTTTGGACCAGAGATTAACTCCCAAAAAACCGACTTACAGGGGAGTATATATATACGGTAAATCAGTATATTCTCTTTGAAACATTAGACACCACAGAGTCTGACACATCTAATTCATATTTGACTATTTTAGTACAGAAATATAACTCTATAACAATACAAACTGCCTGTAATAGCAAAACATTATCATGATGTGTGTGGTGTTTTCAACTTTCCTATTATCAACTTTTCATATTCAAGAACATGAAGCAATATACAATTTTCACCTGCATCTAGGGCTGTATCAATATATCGATATATCGATACGTATCGATATTCAAGAAAAATATTGTATCGAAAAATTACTTCCAATACGTATCGGACAAGCAACCTTTCTTCTAATTCTGCTAAAAAGATGGGAATTTTAATCAGCAAAGATTATATTTCACTTTTTTAAAATTAAAAATGATCAAAAATTGTAGATTTATAAAAGAAATAACAGTTTTTATAGTTATAATAAAATACATAACAGTTTTATTTTAACATGTTGATTTTGCAGTAATTAAAAGTTTCGATTGGAAGTGTTTTATTTACTGACTATGGGATAAGAACTTTGAAATGGGTAATAAAACACAATTTTTTTTAATGAAATCCATGCATTAAATGATTAATAAGCTTTTTTGATGAACTTGTTTTAGAAACCAATATATCACATATCGCCTTAAAAAATATTGTATCGTATCGAAATTTTTTGCTCAATACACAGCCCTACCTGCATCTCATTATGATATGTATATCTCCAAGTTGATTCTCTATGCAAGAGCATGATTTCTTCGTATAAATTTAAAAATCTTGGTACATGAACGCTATTGACAAATAAGTGAATGTACAAGGGTGTTGGTAATCTTGCTTAGTGAATAACAAATACATCATTTCGCAAAATATATTATTGATATGACATTGTTGTCATTAGAACAGATGTTCACTGATAATTTAGATACAAAATTTCTTCAGTATTTGCCAACAACAGATGTGATATGTCAGGGTATACATACTCCCCATTGGCAGTTGATCTCACCTTCATTGTGCTCTCATTTTATAACATTTCATTAAATTTTTGGGCATAATAACTGTTTATCTTTACATTTGTGCAAGATATGTTTTTAAAGCCTTTGTATTTCATGTATTGTTATAGTCTCATTTGATGTGAATTTGGCAAGTGTGGATAGAGGGTATATCAGTGTTGCCTGAAACAAAAAGCTATGGAAAAACTTTCTGTCACATTGTCCAACAAATCATAGATTGCCAAAATCCTAGTCAATATACCTGGGTTAAATTCTGTCAGTGAGTACCCTCTCCATTCCTGAGAAGTAATGGCGCGGGGCCCCAAAGGGGAAGAGCTGTAAGAGAATATTGAGCACAGACATACTTGTAGATTATGATCTGACAGAGTCAATAAATTATATCTAATTTGTATTTGTTGGTGTTCAGCAGATACATATTAGGCACAACAAGACATTCATTGACGGGGTTTTTGCCTTCTTAAGGAGATCGCATTTTTCTGAATCCTTGACCCAAACTGTTGCCATAGGTCTTATGACCTCAGGCAACCAGCTTTCTTATCAGGTCAGACAAAATATATGTCATGTTTGAAGTAATTCAAAAAATATAACAGTATAATGAATGGTTTTTAGCCAAGAAAGTGAGGGTAGTTGAAAGTGATGACATTTTCTAAATATTATATTGACATTCTAGCCATGGTAGCTCAGTGCTGACTCTGAGCTTGGTCTGAGAACTATCAATTTTTTAAGCAAGACATGCTACTCACTGTTAAGTTGAGGTTACACAGATTTTAACAACATCTTTTAAAGTCAGCATTTCCTAAATTCTCTGGTCATTATGAAGTCTTTGTTAGCAAACATTATCTATCATTGGGTCATATTTTGGCTGACTTATTTCTTACCAATTATTAGGCTTTTGTTTTTATGATGATTCACCCTTGGAATTTCAAGGTTTTATGCCGTCTTAACATACTTGTATTGTATAAAGATTTTTATGTGCCTGTATCGAAAGATCTGAGGCGTATATTGTTTTTTGTCCTGTCTGTCTGTCTGTTTGTCTGTTTATCTGTTTGTCTGATTGTCTGCAAACTTTGACCTTCGCCATAACTTTTGAACCATTATTGGTTGAGACTTCATATTTGGTATGCATACTCCACTAATTAAGTTCTTTCAAACGACACCAAGGTCAATGACCTTGTGACCTTGACTGTGAACTATATTCTAAAAAAAGTTTTTTTTCTGCAAACTTTAACCTTTGCCATATCTTTTGAACCATAAAAGATAAAGACTTCATATTTGGTATGCATACACCACTGATTAAGCTCTTTTAAATGACACCATGGTCAATGACTTTGTGACCTTGACTGTGACCTATATGCTAAATATAGTTTTTTTGTCGGCAAACTTTAACCTTCGCTTTAACTTTTGAAGGAAGAAAAATTGAGACTTGATATTTGGCATGTATACTCCACTAATTAAGCCCTTTCACATGACACCAAGGTCAATGACCTTTGTGACCTTGACTGTGTCCTATATGCTAAAAATAGCTTTTTGAACCTTCGCCATAACTTTTGAACCATGAGAGATAAAGACTTCATATTTGGTATGCATACTTCACTAATCAAGTTTTTTCAAATGACACCAAGATCATTGACCTTTGACCTTGACTGTGACCTATATGCTAAAAATATGTTTTTTTTAACTTTGTTGCTGGCGGGCGCATAGTGTTTCACAAACACACATCTTGTTTTAGATTGATCACTGTTATCTTTATATCTTTTACGTGTAAGGGTAGCAAGTTTGGAATCCAGCCTTGCACAGTTTTTCCAATTTTAAAAATGTATAGTCTCATGATAATAGTCAAACCCTTTTATCTTCAGCTCAATCAAATTGAAAGTGTGCTACCCAGATGAATTGTTTACAACTTTATATGTAAGAGTTACATCACATTCAAGTGGATTTTAACTATTTTTGTTATCCACTTCACTTGCATGTGACTGTATTACTTATAAGGCATAGCAATTTAATAATATAGAATCTACTGCAAAAAGCTACATGTATTTGTAAACAAAAGATGCAGGAGGTGCTGGTCTGTCCATCCATCCTACTGTCAAACAATTTTATGGTCCAGCATCCCAATTGCCATTACAATCTTTCCCCTTTTTTCTTGAGGTTCTCCATCCTGACTACTAAAGCACCAGTGGGTTTTACTGTTGGGCACCAAAAATAACTGGCGGCAAAATTGTTTACAGATTGGGACTCCAACCTAAGACCTTCCCTAGACCTTTCCCTAACCAGAGCTCTACCACTGAGCTACCACTGGCTGCCATACCCTATCCCTTTTACACATCTATAAAGTGTATACTAACTGTGCTATGACATTCTATTTATAGATTCGCTCTCCTTACCTCCATCTACCCCTCCACCCTACACTCGGCTCCAGGTCCACGAGAACCGCCTGGTCTCTCAGTCCTCCACAGGGTCCTCAGAAAGCAGCCTCAGTCACATGACCGAAGAGAAGCCTGTGTTACCGGGAGTTACGGTGCGGGCTGCCACCAAGGAGAATCTAGTGCAGCTTGTTGTACAGAGTATAGGTTGGTGATTGGTCAGCAAGTTATTAGCATTCTGATTCAAAGAAATTAAAGCAATATGAGCTGCATGTTTGACATCGGAAAATTTAATTGCAAATTTGTAATTAACTAATTTAATGACAGAAAAATAAATCATTTATAAACTTCTGTTGTTCATATTTGCAATGGAAAATTTTTTATTAGCTTTGATTGAAGCAAAATTGAATTATTGTCGTCCTGTACAATAATTATTTCTTATATAATACTGTATGTTTGGTTGTACAGAAATATTTCTACTGAAACATTTTTTAACTTTATTTTGGGCTTATTGGTCATTAGGGTTTAAATTACATACAAATTAATCATAATAGCATATTTTACCTGCAAAATAAAATTTTCGAAGATACAGCTCATATTGCTTTAACTGAAATGCCATGGATATATCTCAAATTTTTGGGGGGAAGTTGCATTGATTTGAGATAACGAGGATTGATTGTAATTTATTTTAGATATGATAAAAAAACGAAAATTTAGAGGATTTTATGGAAACAAATTTAAAGCACTGGGGAATGGAAAAAAATTCAGACTTGAAAATGATCATTTGAAAAGCATTTCATTTCAAACTTTCAATTTTCTTTGTTTCAGAACCGGATGGGCGATTGGTAGGGGGCAGTGATTTCCTAAGTGTGATGTTTTTGATGCATCAGTGGTTCATGAGTTCTGAACAGCTAGCCTCTGCTTTCATTGACTTGTATCCTTTATTGTATGAACTGAATTACTGAACTAGATTTAGAAAAAATATATATTGGGATTGCTATTGTTAATATATTGCATTTATTTGGGCAGTGACTTTTGTAGGCATTTTTTAAACAAGCATAATTAGTACTGTTTAATTTGAATGGAGTAGTAATGTTATGAACTTTTGATCTCCAACATTTGAACATTAAACATGGTATGTTTCCTTTGAAGGTTTGGGTATGTTCATTTCCCTGCTAGACGGTTTGATCCAGGGTCTGATACCACGAGAGGAAATCAGACAATTAATGAGCTGGCCTCGTTAACCATCATTAGCCCATCCTCTTGTCCCACTGACAGTGTGACCTAGTTTTTCTCAGACATCCCGCAAGACATCGTATTTCCTAGTGAATTGCTAAATTAGGGTTTATCCTCCATTGCCATCTTTTTTACATCAAATTTATTGCATTTAGTGAATTTTTATGTGCAAAAGGGAAATTATTCAAGTGTTCTATATATTTTAGCGTTCAAGGCCATAAGAAGTCAGAAAATGTTAATTATGTTTTTGGCATGAATAATCAAAAATTAGTAATCGTTTTGAAATAAAGAAAAGGGAATTAAATAAAAATTTCTTAATCAAGTTTAGTTATATAGAACTGCATTTATTTTATTGAAATTTGAAGGGCTGAGAAAATTAAAAATATCTTCTATTTGTATATAAATAGTATTTTAATTACAATGGACATAAAAAAAATTAAAATATAAGGATTTTTTAATTTTACTTCAAGTGAGCTTTTTCTCATTGAAGGCTGTACAGCATCAGTCCTCTGTTGTCTGTCAGCTTTTCACATTTTTTGCTTCTTCTTAAGAACCCCTGGGCCAGTTTCAGTCAAACTTGCCACAAAGGAGCTTTGGGTGAAAACACTTAAAGTTTGTTCAAATGAAAGGCCATGCCTTCTTTCAAGGTAGGGTAAAAAGATTGAGTGAAAGTTTATTGGCATCTTGTTTTTAAATCTTCAGGACAAGTGGGCCACATGTGAAAACTTCTTAGGGTAGTGTGGCCACATTGGACAATGAAAGTTATTCATAGAAATGCACAAGAAAACATCTCTAAGAATCTTGTCAAGAACAGCAATGGCATGTTCAGTGATATTTGTATGGAAGCACCCTCAGATAGTGTAAATTCTTCTTTTTTTCCAAATCATGACTCCTCAGGGCTAGCATGGGACCTCAGTAAGTGAGAAAAGATCAAAATATTACAGAGATATAAAATTTAAACATCTTCAAAACATTTGGTTGAATATTAGAGCCATTTTTAGTCATATTCATATTGAAGCCTCCTCAGGTACTGTAGATTCAAGTTTGCCTAAATTATGGCCTCACATCATCTTACAGTTTGACTCTCAGTGTCTCTCCTTCCTTGACTCAAAATTTGTAGTTGGTGTTATAAATGATACAAATCAATGTATACAATGTGAAATGCAAAATTCAATATGGAATTGAGGGAAAACATGATAAAAAAAAAACATGAAAGAGAATGAAAATGTCACAGCAACACATGTAAATGTGTTTATAGATTTCTTAACCTCCATATAGATATCAATCTAGTGATGAGACAGTCTCCTGTACCAAACCCAACTGTCAACACATCCCAGCCAATGAGGACTGTGATATACAGAAATACAAATGTCGAATCTGTCACGCTGTCAGGTAGGTAAAAAGACGGGGCTAGGACAACTAAAAATCCATATACCAATATGTGCTCTTTGTTTTAAACTAATACTAGTATATTCTGTAATCATTTTCACTAGAAGTGTGTTGTACTATATACTGTATGGCAGGTTAAAATCGCGGTTGGAAAAGATCGCGATTTGTTCAATTTTCATGAAATCGCAGAAGTTTGAATTCCCGGAATAGGAAAATCCATACATTTCTTAAACAATACTTGCAAGCAATTTAATGTAGGTATATATTGTGTGAACTGCTATTTCCCGTCTCTATTGTACATTACGAAAGTCTGTAATGCACATATCAGACAGAAAAGTCAAGTCTATATATTGTGTAGATTTTGATCCCGATTGAATAATAACGAAATACCGGACTGATCCCGATTTGAAGGCAAAATAATGCTATGCATTTAATTTTTTTTATTTCCGGGTCCAAATCAGAAAAAAATTAAACCGTAGTCAAAATGTTGAACTTTAAAACATATAATTGAAATTAATTAATTGTCGTTACGCTGTTTACTACGTAAATGCCTTGATTAAAGGTGATACGCACGGGTGAAATTAAACAAGCGTGTTTAATTAAATAATTACATCGCACTTCTACTAGATGGACAGATTAATCGTTAGCTATAGAGATGAATTAAACAATTAATAAGCTTTAAATACACCAACAACTACGTGTTTGTAATTGATCCATATACTCGCATAGTTAAAAAGGTAGTCTACATCTAATCACAGAAAATAACCAAATTTCAATTTATCCTTGTAAAACTTTTAAAGAATTATTCACTGTATGTTGAATTCGCGGAATTTCTTTTTCCGCGAATATAGCGAAAATTAACTCTGCGAGTTAATTTCCTGCTGTACAGTAGAGACTGGACTTGATCCATTATTATAGTGAAATAATAACTTAATTTGTATCTCAGAGCATAGATTCAAGTTTGTTAAAATAATGATTTTGGGGTAGGGTAGTGTCAAAATGAACAATCAAATGTTTACATAGAATTGATACATAAGAAAAAAATCTTTAAGAATCTTCTCAAGAATGGCAAAGGCATCATAAGTCAAATGAATATTAATATGGAAGCATACTCAGGTAATGTAGATTCAAGTTTCTTTAGGTTTTGACCTCCAGGAATTTATTTCCTTTGTACCCATAAAAATGCTTTGTAAACATCAAAGTTTGTCTCAAACTATAGATTAGATAACTACGTACTACAATGCATCGTGACGTCATGTTATTTGGCTTTTATAATAGAATTTATGCATTGTGACGTCATGTTTTATTTACACACGGCTCAAGTCGGGTGCACGGATATTTACACCCAACTTTGTAACCAATCAAAGCTCGTGTTACAAGCGACATAGGAAATAAGTTTGGGTATTAGGTTTTACGGGAGGGGGGATCTATGAGAACAGTAGCGCACTTGTGACTCAGGTGAGCACTGTGGACCATGGGCCTCATTTTGATTTTTAATTCTCTCCATGTTCTAAGCAAGTATCAGCCTCTATAGATGGAAGATTTATCTTTTTACCTGTATGCTAGATGAAGTGCCGTTTAATGAGAGTCTTGTCAGTGTGTGACAGAAAATTGAGTAGCATACTGTTATTTAAGAGACAGAGTTATTTCTGGTCAAACATGACGTAAATTGATCAAATCATTGATTTGTGTCACTTTGGTTTTGCACAGCTTCATGACTCTGTCAGTAATTCTGGGAACTGCTAGTGTTATTCTGAGGCACAAGGATGGACATCTTGTTTCATACTGTTCAATTAAATTCAATCAGTGTAGTAAAAATGGCTCATAAAATCATCTTACTTATTCACAAATATCATGCAGTCCATTCAACAATTTCAGCATTGACAACAATAAAGAGGAGAACCGATTATTAGATTCTCTGCTTTTTCTTTTGGATTGTAAATGCTTCCGAGAAATTTCCAAATTTGGCAACATAACTGAAAGTAGTTATCATTACCAGACTCAATGCTTATTGGCAATACATGTATACTAAATTTTAGCCTTGCTTGAAGTCCTGACTAGCCTTGATTTGGAAAAAAAAATTTCTATTAAGATTTTAAAATTTGTTTTTAAAGAGTTTCTTTAATTTTTCTTCAAATTATGTAGAATGTTTAAGAAAGGAATCCTGCAATTTTATCAAATGTTTCAAATACTATTGAATCAGACCATTATAACAAAATTTGGGATTTATAGAATTTAAATTGTTAGTTTTACCTGTAGACAACTGCGCATTAATTTAAGCATTTTTTAGTTAACTTTGATATCAGTATGTTCCATATCATTAGAATAAAGTTAACTGTCCAGCAGTTTGAAGAACCAAGGTTATGCTCAGCATTTATACTTTCCAGCTTATCTGAAAGGGTATCTAAGTCTAACTTGCAAATGTAATGGTTCTGGGAATTCTTAATTAGATTCTTGCTTTGATTTGTCAAAATGGGGGATATTAATTCTAGTAGGAAAACTCTATTTTATTCAGCACTATTTAGATGGACTCATCCAAATGATAATTCTTTGTAGGTTTTGGATAGACAACTATCCAATCCATTTTGACCTGGATTTGAGACTGAAGACTGTGATGAACAATTTCAGAACCATTGCTCACTCAGAAGGCAATGATGTATGTAAACAACTGCTGGATCTGTCTAAAGTGTGAGTAGTGTCCAAGGATAAAAAAAAAGAAATATTTGCATTTATTTACTTCATTATACGAAAATGAATGTGTATTTAAAAAAATATTTCTTGAAATAATTGCAATACTTATTTTACTATATATCAGAACTATTTATTTGCTAACTCTCAAGATTTTGTTTTGTCACTGTAGGTCATATTTATTTGGCATACATGCACTTTATGCCTCCGTTATCAAAGATTCGCGGATACAATGTATATTGGTTTTGCCCTGTCTGTCTGTTTAGCTGTCTGTTTGTCTGCAAAAACTTTAACCTTGCCCATAAATTTTGAAGGATGAGGCTATGACTTTCTTATTTCATAAGTATATTCCTTGTGACAAGACCTTTCTATGGGTACCACCAAATTTGACCTCTTTATCCTGATCTTAGAGTTTGACCCATTTGACTAGAAAATATCCAACTTAAACTGAGGCCATAACTTTTAAACAGTTTTGCAGCAAGAACTTTCATACTTCAAATGGGTATTCATTGTGCCAAGACCTTTCAATGGTTAATAATATTTTTGACCTTGACCTTAGGGTTTGTCCCACTTTTTTAAAAAAAACTTTAACCTTGGCCATAACTTTTGAACAGAAATTAGTACTAGAGCTTTCATATTTACAAGTGTATTTGTGATAAGATCTTTCTCTGTATACCAACAATGTTGACTTTTTGACCTTGACCTTGGATTTTGACTAGCAGTTGAAAACATTCAATTTGCCATACAGTGTCATCTATGTTTCACAAACTAATCTTGTTTTCTTTTTTTTTTATTGCATATTGTATGATTTTTTTCAGTCCTACATTTGATTGGATGAGAAGAATCTCTGTCAGACCAAGCAAACACAACAGAAAGGTGTCCCTTGTATTTAACCATTTAGAGCCAATGGAGTTAGCCGAGCATTTGTCATATCTAGAATACAAAGCATTCCGCAGGATAAACGTAGGTCTATCATGCTCTCGGCCAAGGAAGAAACATGTTTAAAAACACTTAGAAGAACCCTTAAAACATGGGTTTAAATATAATTTTAACATAGAAATTAATATCTTTCTTTCATATTATGTATCATTCTCAACAGTGTACATAAGAAAATGTCCTTTAAACCCCTTATATTAATTCCCTTTTGTTTATTTATTTTTCTTTTATGAATAGAGATACTAATCTGTAAATTTTAACTATAATGTAGATGGTCAAGTATTTTGGACCTGAAAAAATTCATTTATCATTTCAGTTTACTGATTTTAAAAACTATGCAATGTCGGGTTCCATTAAGGACAACCCAAAACTGGAGCGGTCCATCGCATTGTTCAATGGACTGTCGCAGTGGATACAGTGTATGGTGCTCAGCAAGACTACGCCACAACAAAGAGCCGACGTCATCGTCAAATTTGTTAATGTTGCTAAGGTAATTAATAAATTATTGTCAGTAATAAAGTATAATTTCAAATAAAATATGACAATTTGTTTGATTTAAACCCATTTAACAATTTGTCATCTACCATCAATATGAGCAAGACACTGAGTAGACAGTAACATCCATAATGTCACATTCGTGTAATTTATGCATGTACGGTTCATTTGAAATTTCTACAGACATCAGTCCTACATCTAAAAAAAGCAATTAAAGTTGCATGAAGTCGATCAAATCATGGGTCAATATATGGGTTGATTGAAAACAACAAATGACGAATGGTAATGCTTGCAAGTGCAGAAATAGCAAACTTTATTAGGTGAAATATCACACATACAATAAAGAAGACAGTGAATCTTCACAAGTTTGCTTATTTAACAACATTACCATCTAAAATTTATAAATGAATATTTACTCTTAGTGCAATTTCCATGACTGATCATGCTAGTGTAATTTTATTTTAAGATTGACGACTTCTTAGATTTTCAAGTATTGATTTCTCCACTGATGGAGAACGCTAGAGACAGACACGGACTACATTACTTGTAAACATCTTTTTAATATTGACGTGTATTTTAGGCAGTTTACTTTTCGGGTACCAAATAATATTTACCTGTATTTTAGGACGTCTACTTTTCGGGTGCATTTTTTCATGCTTTCAAGATTTTTGAAAAAAGGCAATGGATTTTAAGCAACTTAAAGCACATTTTAACTTTTTTAGACAGTTCAAAACTGATAAAATGAATATTTCAACTTGGATATGGAAGGGAATAAATGTCAGTTGACACATGTAGTTCTGACCTTTGATATTGGTATAATTTATTAACTAACAAGAGACAATTTACAAATTCTTAGTCATGTAGATCTGTTATCTTCAAATTTAAAATACATTTTTTGCAAATTTTCAGAGCATATTTTATGATGCATACGTATATGTATCTAGTTGCTAACATGTGGACCTCATTTTGTCTTATCACAATTGCTTAATATGCAGTAAGTACAAAAGTCAACTGCTAATTAACCCCCAATAGGAAGGAGAATAAAGACTCGCAACTGTTGTGACGTTGCTGCTCAGATATCAAACAATATAGGTTCCTTCTCAATATATTGTTGGCAAAGTAATAAAAATTGTTGTATTTATATAAGCAAAATAAAGTGATAATTCAAAGCTTAGTCATATGTAAATAACATCTGTTGTGCATGTAACAGATGTCGGTGATAACTTTATGACTGTAGATGCATTCTGGGTAAATCCTAGTGCATAACTATTGACTTTGTGGCTTTGTTGATGAAGCTTGACACTATCCAGAAATATTAGCTTCCTGGTAAATGTAGAACTCCCTGGCTTTCATCTACCGTAACGATACTAAAATTACTGTAGCTAATTTGGCTGGCTTCCTGGTACTCACAGGTGAAAAGCTACTTGTATCTCCTGGGCTCCAGGGAAAAATAAATATTAGGTGAATTCTGGAGATCAATAATTACTTCCATTTTATAGGTTTCTGCAATTTACAGTCAAACACATTAATTCCTTCTTTCTGGTCTACTTTTTAAAAATCATAAATGCATTTCCAGTTTTTCCAAAATAATTACAGGTAGTTAAACATTCTCATAAATGGTATACAATAATTATGTCTGTATCACATGCTAAACGTTTAGTGGGAATGGAAGAAAACAAGATATAATCAGATTTAAATGAATTTTCTTATGATTAAAAAAATGCATTCAATTGGATTTAAATCTGATGTTTTAGAATAGACTTCAAATCTGCATAACTAGACTAAAATGGAAAATATGACACTAATATATCATTTAAATCCTCTTGGATATATTAAATGAACATGTCATTTGTTTGGGTGTAATTTTAACATCAGCCAGGTCACACACCTGTTACATGAGGGAAATGGATGGCAGGTAATGGTTGCAGCATATGGTGATAGTGAAAACAACTAATAAATAATGTAGTCAACTGGAGACCTATGAATTTGCTGAAATTTTCAAACTTGTAAAAAAAAACCACGGAAATGAGTTGAATCCTCATTTACTTTGGACATTAAACAGAAAAATGCATGTATCCATACAAAATATTCCAGACATTATTCTGTCATAAAACCCAGGCTATTGTCTTTGGAGGAAGTGCCGCAGAAAACTTAGTTACTTTTGGAGCCCGTGCTGTTATATAAGTACACAGGCTCTTAGTGCACTGGAAGTAGAACAACCCAGTGCAGCAACAAGAATTTTACAGTTCACTTGTCTCTGTCAATTCAGATATGTGTATATCAGAAATGAAATAGTTATAGCTGATTGATATCATTTCAATGAGAATAAAGGAGCTTTATGGATATAGAATGCAAAATTTGTCTCTATCATCAGGCATCAATGAAGTGTGATTAACTTCCTGTTCTTTAAAATAGCATCATTTTGACTTCAGACTCCTTTATCTCTTATATGGAAATTTGATTGTTCTATGGTATAATACAATAGTCCTTTGTTTATTTCTTGTGTAACTCAGCATTATTTTAGAAAAAAACCAATATTGTTTGTATAAAATAGCAGAAAATATAATTCAACATGAAATAAATCAAACATTTATTTGACATCCAAGCTTAAAATTTTTAACCAAAATGTACAAGCTGATAGCACTTTTGAAATTTTCCTTAATGATGCAGAAATATTTACACAAACTAAAAAATGTATCACTGTTTAAAATATTTAACATTCTTTTATTTCATGTTCTGGATGGAAACTGAGGCTGTATCATGTTGTAAATTTGCATTTACCTTAAAAACTTGCAACATGTCAGATAGCCACCTCATTCTTTTGTGTACTTGACAGAAACTGAGGCTGTTGAACAACTTCAACACTTTGATGTCGGTGGTAGGGGGGTTAACTCACAGTGCTCTGGCCAGGCTGTCCAAAACTAACCAGGAAATCCCTAGTGATACTCAGAAGGTAAGGGATTGACACAGACAAGGGTTTAAAAAAGGAATTCCTAGTGGTATTTCATAGGTAAGGGATTAAAAAAACCATGGAAGTCCAAATAGGATATGTAAGAATTAATGAATTTATAATCAATACTAAAGGCTAATGGTGGGTGTGAATGGTTGGGATGTTTAAACCTCCTAGGCACCTGATCCCAGCCCTGGTTTACCCAGGTGTCCATGTTTTATGCCCTGTTATCAGATTATTTTTTAGTTAAATCACTCACTTTTTGTAAGCTTCACCTTTTTTAATGGATTAAAGAAATTCAGTAAGAGGAATAGTAAGAAGTCATACTACAATTTGTTATACCAAGAAAGTCAAGCAACTGTAATTACACCTGGCGCCGGATCATGAAACATCTTGAACTTAAGTCAAAATATTCATGTTGTACTAAAAATTTTTTATTTAGTCAAATAGACAACAATTAAAATATTTTTTAATATTATATAACTTTGTGAAATCCAATAAAGGTCAAGCAACTGTAATTAATAATGACTCGCACGAGCTGCCTCGTTTTCACTTTCGCTTTAGACAAACATGGAAGTCAAGTTGTAGGTAAGAAAAATTTAAAAGACATAGTGAAGAACTCTGAATTCAAAACAATTACAAGCAAAATATTTGTTGTACTACATACCCTTTCATGGTTGAATTTTTTTATTACGGAGACTAGTCAAATAGAAACATAATTACATTCAACTTATTTATGGTTAATACCATCTCTGTAAACATAAGGAAGATATACATAGTACTAATACATTTGGGAAATTATTATTTATATAATATAATAAATATGGACTCAATGCACGGTCAATATGCATTTATAATGAATTTAAAATATTTTTTAATAATGCTTTACAGAAGTGTTGTTATCTGCAAAATTAGAGATTCGTTCAATTATTAATAAACGTTTAACGGGTGATTGTAAATTTGACTTAAGTCTATGTCTGTTTCATGATCCTGGAACCTGGTATCTTTATTTTAAAAAGTGAAAATTAAATAAAGCCAATCTAGGAATCAGTCAGGGACAGATGATATTACAGGTCATAGTAAGGCTGTCAAAAATGGGAAAGAATCAAGAAAAATAGACATATGTGTGATTCCTTAGAAGCTTGAGGAGAGTAATCAATAGGGAAATATCTGTAGCCAGAGAGGTAGTGCCAGGGAAAAGGCTACAGTTACCTTCACAAATACTTCCTGATGATATAACTATAGTTTGTGTAAGGCTTTATGATGATTTAAGTTTAAGTGAGCCATTGGTTGTTTTAAATGCATTTACCTTTAAATTATAATGTTCCTTATGCATGTACTTTACAAAGTGAACCATTATTTACTTGACTATTGTGCACTTTATTAGAATATGTGCTTTGTGTATGCATTACATCCTGTTTGATATTTAATAAATAGGATGATATCAATACTTCATAAAGATTCTAGGATTACAAAATACAGATTTTATCACCTGGTGTACTCATCACCGATCAGGTCAATGACCTTATTGATTATTGGGCAGTGTTTAAATCTTTATAAAATTTCTGTTCTGAGCAATGAATTGTAAATCTGTGTCCTCAGAGGTAATTAGATTGTCTTTGTTTTAAGAAATTTGGGGAAGTTTGATTGCTTTAAACATCAGGTGTAAAGTGATTGTTTTTGTTTTTACCGGTAGACATTTGTCTTTGTCTTTGATTGTCTTTGTTTTAGACATCCAGGAGTAATGTGATTGTCTTTGTTTTAAACATTAGAGTAATGTGATTGTCTTTGTTTTAGCCATCAGGGGTAATATGATTGTCTTTGTTTTAGACATCAGGGGTAATGTGATTTTCATTGTATAAAACATAAGAGGTAATGTCATTGTCTGTGTTTCAAGAGTTTTAAGACATCCATGGAAATGTCATTGTCTTTGTGTAGACATTGATGTTATGCATTTGTCTGATAGATATTAGGGGTTATGTGTTTTTTAGGTACATGTATTATTAGGATAATGTGATTTGCTTTGTTTTAGACATCAGGGGTTACATGTACTTTATGTCTTTGTTTTTAGACAGTAGGCAACTGGAATCCTATATCTCTTTCTTTAGGCATTAGGAGATTTGTAATTGTCTTTGTTTTAGACACTGGGGTATTGTGTTGTCTATTTTTTAAGACATTAAGAGTAATGGGATGGTCTTTATTTTAGACACTGGGGTATTGTGTTGTCTGTTTTTTAGACATTAAGAGTAATGGTATGGTCTTTGGTTTAGACATTGGGGTATTCTGTTATCTATTTTTAAGACATTAAGAGTAATAGTATGGTCTTTGTTTTAGACACTGGGGTATTGTGTTGTCTATTTTTTAGACATTAAGAGCAATGGGATGGTCTTTGTTTTAGACACTGGGGTATTGTGTTGTCTTATTTTTTAGACATTAAGAGTAATGGTATGGTCTTTGTTTTAGACACTGGGGTATTGTGTTGTCTATTTTTTAGACATTAAGAGGAATGGGATGGTCTTTATTTTGGACACTTGGGTTTTGTGTTGTCTATTTTTTAGACATTAAGAGTAATGGTATGGTCTTTGTTTTAGACACTGGGGTATTGTGTTGTCTATTTTTTAGACATGAAGAGTAATGGGATGGTCTTTGTTTTAGACAGTGGGGTATTATGTTGTTTTAATTTTTTAGACATTAAGAGTAATGGGATGTTCTTTGTTTTAGACACTGGGGTATTGTGTTGTCTATTTTTTAGACATGAAGAGTAATGGGATGGTCTTTGTTTTAGACGCTGGGGTTTTGTGTTGTCTATTTTTTAGACTTTCCGAGTAATGGTATGGTCTTTATTTTAGACACTGATGGAGTTCACTGACCTTCTCTCCTCTAATAACAACTTCAGCAACTATCGCAAAGTCTTCAACCAGATCAAGTCCACAGAGTTCAAAATTCCTATACTGTAAGTAAGATGGCATTGAAAGAACTAGATCAAGCTGAAATATGAATCAAATGGTTCTAATTCAAGGTTGAAAGACTCATGAAATAATATCGATAATAGTAGAAATTACTGTATAGCTTTTGTCAGATTGTAATAAATCATGGTACAAGACTGTTAAGGAGACAAAACCAAGAATAATTGTTCTCTTTAATGCCATTATTTCAAATCCAACCTCTGCTTATCTATGTCATTGTTCTTAGTACAAACCGGTAGAGCTACAATCTTGTCAGAGACTTTTGATTCTATTATTTCTATCTTTGATTACCGGTATGACCAGTACATGTAGCACTCTATTTCTCAGAGCTGTCCACCTGAGGGACCTGATTCTCCTACACACAGCTTTACCAGATCAAGTCGAGGGAAATCTGATCAATTTCAGGAAAATGGTCCAGCTTTCCCAAACACTGAAGGAACTGACCAAACTTCAGCTGCACGATGTCATTCCATTCACTGCTAATGTGGACCTTGTCAACACACTCAGGGTATGTCTGCTTCAACTGTAGGATCAAGTTAAAGGTTTATCCTCTTTAAGCTTTTGTCTATGTGAAGTTTATAGCTGATTTGCAAACATGATTTCATGTTACTATTTTGTATTTGAGATAGATGTTTCCATTTCCAGTGAATTAATGCTTTGAACAATGTTTAACAATGTTTCTAATTTGTTTCCAACAGTTATCACTTGATCTGCACTACACAGAAGATGAAATTTATGAACTTTCCCTGGCACGAGAACCGAGAAATTCCTTATCATCTGTCAGTGAAACAGTAAGTTGTTATAGTTAATGATATAGTACAAGTAACCGGTACTCAAACCCAAAGAGTTTGAGCAAAGTTGAAGATAAAAGATGTATTTTTCCCAGAATATGAAATGAGATTAATTATTTCATGTATTTTTTAAAGAATTTATGTGGTGAATGGAATGTGAAAGATTTGCAGATCTTGTGTAATTCAGGTATTTTGTTTCTCTATTTTTAGCCGTCCACCCCAACCAAGCCAGCAGTGGTGTTTGCTGAATGGCTAGCAGGAGTTAGTCCCCCTGATCCAAACACAATTAACAAACATGTTCAAAATATGGTTGAGGTAAGTATAAGTAAGAACAACTTCAGACTAGATTTCATTGTTTTACAAAAAGTAAGGAAATAGAATTATTTATCTTTGTAGAGTGTAATCTTTATTAAGGTTTAAATAAAGGCAGACTTTATTTTGGATAGAAAGTTATAACTGAATGCATTTAAACTGTTTTAATTTGTACATCAATTATCTCTTACAAGGAAAACTGTTAATTGGAACATTTTTTGGGGTCAATCCATAACTACTTGGTATGATTTGTTGGAGTGTAACTCTCAGGCATACATGCTAAATTTACTGCTTTAGGCAGAAGTCTTAGGCCTTTTTTACTCCTTCTTCCCATCACATTTATAAAAAAAAAACCCCACAGTACTGCTTTTCTGAGGTAGCCTTAACAGAAACTACCCAATCTTAAAATCTTGTTGACAGTGACTTTTAAGATATCTTTTTTGAACTGGGAGGATAGAACACTATTTACCTACTGATATTTACAAAGTTTCAAACACATGATAGACATTGATCAATGCACACATCTCTGTGAGTACAACAGTAAAAACAATATTTGTTGACAATGTCCCTCTATTGTGATAGGAGGGACAGCATTCTAGAATCTGGGTCAATCATTCTGACTTCATACAAAAAGTACAGGGAATAAACATCTTGACTTTAGCTTTAGTCATTGATGGAAATCAAAACTCTGTTTGAAGAATTGTTAGATCTGAATTTTGTGATGATATAATTTGCTCTATTTGGAATAAATTAACATTGACAATCATTGCTTCCTGGCTATATTAACAAAGATCCTTCTTTTAGAGGCTAAAGAAGCCAGCCACACAAAACTATTGATATTGTGATATGATATCAATTACTGCATTTGTCATTTGAATCTATATTTTAAAAAAAACATCTTTTCAAAATCAAAGCATAATTATATAAAACACAGCAAGGTCTGAATCTCTCTTTTTTTGTAACAGTAGTTAACATCTATAACATAGGTCACAACAATTAAGAGTATGAAAATTTGACCATTGTAAAAGTGTTCAAACTCAATTTCTTTAAGCAGAACCTTAAAAAATATTTTTTTTTTATTGTGAGCCACAACCACATTGCTGTTTCAGAATAAATGTATACATTGTATCAATATTTCAGGCTGTGTTTAAAAATTACGATCATGACAAGGACGGATTTATCTCCCATGATGAGTTTAAAGCCATCGCCGGAAATTTCCCCTTCATTGACTCATTCTGTGTTCTGGATGCTGACCAGTAAGTTCAATTTATTCAACATTTGAATGCTGCATGTGTTATAACTCTAATATTTTCTGATATAAAACAAATAGGAATTTAAATTTTTAAACATATGTGATTGCACTTTTTTGTTCAAAATATATTTTGTTTGATATCGATTCTTGTTTGATCACAGGGATGGCATGATCAGCAAAGCTGAGATGAAGACCTACTTCTTCAAAGCCAATTGCCATGTGTTACAGAACAGTTTTAAGCATGATTTCCATGAGACTACATACCTAAAACCCACATTCTGTAGCCACTGTACAGGGCTGGTGAGTAATGAAGCTTTATATTTTGTACATACAGATATGGTGAACAATTCTTGTCCACATTTTATACCAAAAACATAGGGTCTTTGATTAATTATGTTCCACATTTTGTCTTCACTGTGCAATGTGGTATGTTCCACATTTTGTCTTCACTCTGATTGTACCATGTGCTATGTTCCACATTTTGTCTTCACTGTGCCGTGTGGTATGTACCACGTTTCATTTCAATGTGCCGTGTGGTATGTTCCACATTTTGTCTTGACTGTGCTGTGTGGTACGTACCACATTTTGTCTTCACTGTGCGGTGTGGTATGTTCCACATTTTGTCTTGACTGCACCATATGATATGTTCCACATTTCATATTCACTGCTCAGAGCTGTTGATCACTGTACACAATCTGTATTCACTGTCCTGGACTACTAAGTATTTGTCAACTTCTCTACCCACTGTACAGAGCTGCTGAGTACTTCATACAATCTGTCAGTGAACAAGGCTAGTGATTACTTTACACATTCAGTATTTACTGTACAGGTCTCTAATTCACTCAATCTGTACTGATGTACAGAGCTATTGTTTTTGACACATTCTGAATCCACTTGGCAGAACTGCAGAATACTTCACATAATCTCTACATACTGGTCAAGACTAGTGAGTACCTTACACATTCTGTATCCACTGTACAGAGCTTGTGTGTACTCACACTAATGGAATTCCATCCTATTCCAATCTATGTTTGAATTATGTTTTGTTATTGTTTTTAAGGAAACAGCTTGTGCTGACTCTGTAACGGAGCCAAGCTTATAGTTTCTGGTAGACCCTGGATACTTTTGAAGTTCTCTATTAGAGTCTGACAAACTGTGGTTTGTGACTTAAACATCTCTCCTAGACTGTGTGAAATGGTTTCTCAAGAGGATCTATCAGTATTACTGCATAATTTTACCCCCTTTTATACCCAGGTGACTGTTAAGACCCTTGGGCTCCTTGTCAATATGTAAAATTATATAAAACTTCCTTAACACTTTAACACCAAATGATACCACTGTAAGCATTTTATGATGTGCCATATCAGATGGTTTAAGACAGTATTTTCTGTAATGTTGATTGCACATATGTACCAGACAGTGCACATTCACACAGGCCTTGATTTTTTGATTTTTTTAGTAGTTTATTAGAAGTAATTAGCAAACATCATCATACTTATTTAAAGTAATAAAGGTTTGTTGATATAAAATGGGATTCTTACTACATGTACTACCTGGTAAATGATATTAACTGGAGAAAGCCTTAATCAGTTTAAAACAGCTGTCCATGTTTTAGGGGACCAATATATTTTCTCTGAGATATGATCTTAAATAAAGAAAATTGATTTAAATGTACTCTTAGATGTCTGTCACACACCTTAATGTACCGTCTTAAAAACATAAAGGTACAATTTGGTTTAAACTGAGGGGGACATTTAGAGTTGTTGATGTGGATGACATTGTATAATACTGTTATCACAGAAGAATGTTTAATACTGGCACTTAGTGTCTGAACTGTCAATGGGTACAAAGGATGGTATTCCTAAAGATTACGCAATCAGCACATTATTTGGGTAGCTCATATTTAAACATCTAACACTTTAATAACAGGCGGGACAGAAGTTTGACAGAAGTTTGAATGGATAAGATTATGATATTGTGCAGTAGAACAGGGAGTGTCATATTTAAGTTCTAGAAAGCTTATTTGGCATGTCTAGACTATTCATCCATTTACCTTTTAACTTCAGGTAAGTAACAGACTTGTAATCCTTGACCATTGTTTTTATAGACTATTCATTTGTGGTTTTTAATTCTAGATCATTAAATGAGTTGAGTTTCATTAATAATGGACGTACTAACTGGGGTAAAATAAATGTCTTTAAATATTTTTTTTATGAACAGTGACATTTTGGTTTGTCATGCCTAAATATATACTTTCAAAATTATCTTTGTTTTTCTATTATTTTTGCTTGTTTAATTTTTGAGAAATAAATACGAGCATGATTTACCTTCACAATATCTGATTATGGTAAGACAGATTATCCTTTAAACCTGAAAGGTATTGGGGAATTTCCTGAATAAACAAACATTTGTATTTTAATTGAGAAATGGATGTGTATAATTGACTTAGCGGGGGACAGTTCAGGTCGATATAATGTGTATTGTGACATTGATGTGTAAGCAGATCTTCCAGCCATTGTTATGTGGTGTTTAAACTCTGCAGGAAAGTGTTAGGTATTCCTTTACAGTAGTGGGGTTTGTTCATCTTGGAAGAGACAAATAATGGTAATCATACCTTCAAAGAGGAAGAATCCTACAGTAGCTAATTCTGTGGATTGTAATCATGCTCTGTGAGAAAATTCACGTCATTACCTGGTTATTGAAGAGTTAGAAATGTTCTCATGAAAACACGAGTAAGTTTAAATATCAAATAATTATGAGAGTGAAATACTGACAGTGGAAAAGTTGAGAAAGCCAGGTGCTTTTAGCATTCTTACTAGCCTGGAAGTATTTCCTAAAATATACACCAATGCTTAATTAGGTGATAAAAGAAAAGAGACAGTTATACTGGACTGTTCTATAGTTTAAAGTCCTAGTATGAACATCATTTTTACAATGTCTAACAGCCAGGAGGGAAAAAAACTAGACAACAAATATTTCATTTTCTTGTTTTATTTTTCAGTTATGGGGTTTGATCAAGCAAGGCTGGAAATGCAAAGGTAATGTACCTTACAATTATCTATGCTTTATAAGCAGAACTAGTAGAATATATATAATTGATTTACATGGAATCTTAAAAAATTACTTTTAATGGATCATCAAATAGTGGTAAATATGTATCAGATATTTGGAATTCAGTATTCAATGTGTTCAACTTGGATATGAAATATGGCATGGACTACAAGATACAAAACTAATGAAAAAGAAAAGAAAATTCTTACATAAAATTACATGCCTATATCTTGAAATGAAAATATAGATGAGTAGTTTCCCAAGCAAGGTTATCATAAGAACTTGTATGAACCATATAAGTCCAGACATTTAATAAATTTAAGAAATGTTAAACATCGAAATGATATGATGCTTTATATCTCTATTTGTTGACACAGTGTGTGGTCTTTAATTAATTTGGCAGTAATCTAAAACATGAACATAAGGTTCATTTATTGAACAATACAAAATACGTCCATTTAATGTTTGTTTAAGATGAAGAATTTAAATAACCTATTAAATATAGCCCCCAGCTTCTTCTTTTTCTTATATATTTGAATTCAGTCACATTTTTTGGTAAATAAAAGCTTATTATATTGGCAAACTATAATTAGCTAGAATTCCATACATTTTTAGATTGTGGTATTAATGCTCATAAACATTGTAAAGACTTGGTTGTGATGGAGTGTCGGAACAAACAACAGGCAGCAGGAAACAAACGGCCAGAATTACCAAACGGTAAGTCAACTAAACAAACGGCCAGATGTACTAATGGTAAGTCAACAAAACAAACAGCCTGATATATCTAATGGTAAATAAACTAAAGAAACGGCCAGATGTACTAATGGTAAGTCAACAAAACAAACAGCCTGATATATCTAATGGTAAATAAACTAAAGAAACGGCGAGATGTACTAATGGTAAGTCAACAAAACAAACAGCCTGATATATCTAATGGTAAATCAACTAAAGAAACGGCCAGATGTACCAAATGGTAAGTCAACTAAACAAATAACCAGATGTACTAATGGTAAGTCAACAAAACAAACAGCCTGATATATCTAATGGTAAATAAACTAAAGAAACGGCCAGATGTACTAATGGTAAGTCAACAAAACAAACAGCCTGATATATCTAATGGTAAATCAACTAAAGAAACGGTCAGATGTACTAATGGTAAGTCAACAAAACAAACAGCCTGATATATCTAATGGTTAATCAACTAAACAAATGGCCAGATGCACCAAATGGTAGGTCAACTAAACAAACGGCCAGATGTACCAAATGGTAAATCAACGGAACAAACAGTCAACTAATCAACGGCCTGATATATCTTATGGTAAATCAACTAAACAAATGGCCAGATGTACCTAATGGTAGGTCAACTAAACAAACGGCCAGATGTACCAAATGGTAAGTCAACTAAATAAAATGCCAGATGTACAAAACGATAAGTCAACTAAACAAACAGTCAACTAAACAAACGGCCAGATGAACCAAATGGTAAGTCAACTGAACAAACGGCCAGATGTACTAAACTGTGAGTCAAATGAACAAACGGTCAGATGTCCCTAACGTGACTTTGAAAAGGTATATCAATGCTGCAGTACCTGCCTTTCATAAAATGTGATAGACATGTATTAACAGTTATTTACTCACTAGCTTTGTTTTCATCTTTTTTTCACTTTCCAGCTCAATGACTGGAATATCTACTGATACATGTTTTATTTGTTGATAGGCCCATCTTCACACGAGGTAGGAACCTACCCGGGACGAAGGAAAGCTTCACAGCGACAGAAGAGGTCACGTGTCAGTGTTGGAACACAGACAGAGGAAGTGTATTTCACAGACCTCCGTCCCTCAAACATGAACGGGGACGAGGATTTTTACGAAGGTCAAGAAGACGTCTTCACACGGCTGGCCCAGACGGATGAGGTTAGTGTTGATGAGGGCCTAAATTTTCATTCATCAAAATCTTCTAATCAAGTCTCAACCAATTTTATGCAATTTCATGGTAGTCATAGATTATTTGCTAGGTATGGAGTGAATTTTATGCTCCGTATTGTTTCTTATTTGTATTTAGTCTTCGACCAATCAGGAGGAAGCACAGTAAGTTGCCATGGATACTCCCCTCTTTGATCTGTGCTTGTTTCTTTGTATCCCCCTCCATATTTACTTCATTTGATGTTGTTCATTTCATTGTCATTTTTTTTTAGAATTTGAGTATGACTGTAAATAAAATCTGAACAAAATCGAAATTAATTTTGGGCTATATGTATTGTATGAATTTCTACAAGATGAAACAGCTCTATGATTTCACACTAAATCAATAATAACAACTTTCTCTTGCATTGCTATTTTCAAAAACAGTAAAAATAGTAACATAGCCTTGTGAAAATATGACTTTCTACTTCTTTGATAAAGTCTTTGCATGAAATATTTTTGAATACTGGCACAAAAAAGCATAATTATGGCTTAAATTTAATAATCTAATTGACATGAAAGAATTAAGATATATTGTATGCAAGTACAAAATCAATTCTGATACCAATTTATGTAATCTATGTGGTATTTTCAAAAGTTTTTGTGTTTTAAGTTGAAGAATATTAGTAATCAATATAGCACTAATGTAGTAGAATGTCCTAGAAGTAACAAAATGTTGTGTACAAATTGTTGTTCAGAGAACTGTAGTAGAAGTGTTTGGTTCCAAAAACTATTAACTAGTAGACTTATTATCCTTAATGTTAGATCCTATGAAAAATATACATTTGAAATGAATTCTTTTAAGGCATATTTTTTTTTAATTCTTTTTTTATGTGCAATGGAATGATTTCATTGGAAACTTCTCAAATTATTTTTTTCTTCCAACAATTTTTTTGAAGACTTTACATATTTTGATTTATACACAGTTTTGCCCCCTGTAAAAACACCACACTTTTATTTTACAAAACATTTCTGTTTATAACTGTTTCCCCTGAAACTTGACTTAATAATACTGTTTTAAATTTTGTTTATCATTATTATTTAAGACAATTTAACAGATTTTTCTATGCTTTATCTGCAGGCCAGGGACAAGTTGATGGCAGAGAATGCAAAACTGAAGGAACTCTTGGAAGCTAGTAATGAACAAAATGCTGTCCTGAAGTCTCATTTGGGACTGATTCGTAAAAACACCATAGCATTTATATTGGAACAGATGGATGCCCTCCATATACAGCGCGACACCGAGGTGTAGCTGGGCAGGACCCAGCCCCACCTACCAAAACCTATGATCCACCCCCTGTGTTCACACAGTGAATCTTCAATGGTAGACATTCCAAAGCTTGTACACAAAGAACTGTAAACTGGCAAACTGGAGGATCCTGTCTTGTGTTATAGTACAGCTTTATTGTTATTTATGTTTTATACATAAAATGTTCTCATAGATTTGACCAAATGATCAATGTTTATTCTGATCAGAACTCAGATCCTTGGCTTAACATTCCATTGCAAGACTATTTGTACAGTAGGCAAGGAGAGTTTGATTGGACTTGAACAAAGTGTGGACATTTGATAGCTGCAAAAAACAATGAGAAAAAATATTCTCCAACATTTCAAAGTGTGTTCTAAGTCAAACCTTGAAGTCTTTCAGATACATTATGAGTGTAAGGCAGATTTTGTGTCCTGGGATTCATAATGTCTTGGTATTTCACGTGCATTCTCTAGAAGGTATCAGAACCAATGAATGTGCAGCATAATGGAGAATACAGGTCTGATGGACACTGATTGGTGACCAGTATCATTACCCATGATCCTCAGCAGATCATGTTACCCCCTCAGCTACCAGTGTTGTGCCATACAGTTAACCTACATACCACCACATTTATTCTGCTATTTGGATCAAGCTCATAAAATAAACCACAGATCTGATTATTTTACCAACACTGTATCTTGTTAATTTGTATCATACAATCCGGTCACCAGTGATGAGGAATTTTATTATTATTATTAAATCAACTCTACGTTTTCTTTAGATAATCAGCATTTTGATTATATTTTTTCCTTACATGATTTTGCTAATATCAAACAAATTTCTGTGAATAATTTAGATATATGGCATTGTTTGAAACTTTTGAACAATCAGATTATGTTGTTATCTCTGAAGTTTTTGTTATTGAACAATTCCACAGTATATGTGCATGTACACCAATTTCCTATTTGTTTTATTAAGATTTCGAAAAACCATTTTAAAAAACTTTTCTTAAGCTTATATATAATATAAGAGCTTTCTAAATATGGAAAAGGCTGTCAGTTATACTACATGCCCCAAGTAAGGGAAGAACAAGTTTATGTAACCAAAAAAGATCAAAAACCTTAGCTAGATGAACACTTCCCTTAAACTTTTTTGGAAATCATTGCATTAAAATAAACTTGAATTTTTCCAAGATTTATAAAGAATACACAAAAGATTTTTTTTTTATTGTGTTAGATTTTTTTTTAAGAGATAGTATATTTCCAATGTCCTTTTAGACATTTGTTATACTTACAATCAAAGATCTGGTCTCTCCATAATATATTTTTATTGTTTGTTTGTTTTGTTTTTATTTTTTGTGGCCCCTGACTTGTTGCCAATTCTTTCCCCCTTCTTCCGTAGAGGTCTTATTTTCGCTGATCCTATTTTATACTAATCCTCATTTTACTTCTTTGTTTTACTTTCTGAAAAAGTGCACCACAATCATGATATAATATACATGTATTTAGATACTCATATGCTACAAAAGTAAGGATTCTTTACTAAATTTGAAGGTATATATGAACCAAATAATAAAACCTTTGAAAGTTCACTTGAAAATCAATCCTGACACATCAAGTGTTTGTAAAACCAGAAGCTTTTTGTTGTTTACTCTTATTTAAGCTACACCATTAAGGCAAACAAATCATATCACTTCAAGATTACAAAATAAACAACATGGAAGTTAACTACAACATTCAAGGAAATGTTAGTATCCAGGATATGTCTAAATTACATGTAGGTTTGTCCTCCAAGGAAATGTCTATAAACTACATTTTCAATTATGTCACTCATAACCATGTGTAGGTGTGTCTATCAAGGATGTGTGAAAACTACGTATATGTATTTCTATCCAGGAAACATATAGCTTTACTATATGTAGGTATGTCTATCCAGATTATGTCGAAATACATTAAGAAAATGTCTATTCAAGATATATTTGAACATGTAGAAATGTTTATCCAGACTATTGAGTCTAAATGTAGCAGTGTCTATCCAGGATATGTCTAAATATTTAGGAATATCTATCCAGGATAAGTCAAAACTACATATATTTAAGCATGACTATCCAGGGTATGTCAAAATACATATACCAGGGTAGATACATCCATTCAGGACACAGGCTCCAAAATCGCTTGAGTTTTATATCGGTATATACTAGGGGGCCAAAAATTCAAGTGAGTTTGGTATCTGTGATTCAGGATATATTTAAATTATTTGTTGGTATGAAAGAAAATTATGTACATATCATCACTTGTAACATAAATGGCACTTTGGAAAGAGAGCTTACTGACTGTATGCAATTACCAGATAAATATGTACTGAGAAATATATTTATTGAAAGAATTGTCTCAATGATCTTAAATCTATACTGATTTTTTTTAAAGGATTATGTGACTCATGAATTATTTCAGACTCCATTTTAACCAAATTACTGTAGTGCTTAAACGACCTCAGAGTATTCTTGTTGTTTTTTTCAGTTTGCTCAAATTAACATACATAGTAAAAGTCAGAGTGTAGTTGAAGCAAAAATATTCATTATTTAAGTGTAGATCAAGTATTATTTGGTATAACTTAATTTATTTTTCTGTAAATCCTTTGTGAGATTGTTTCAACACAGAATTCAAATATACCTGAATAATAATGAAAAATCATTCATTGCTGATGGTTAATAAGAAAACATAATTAACCCTTAACCGGAACATCATGCAAAAAGCAAGTGATTTACAGTACATGTATATAGTTTAAATGCTTGAAAACCCTGTGCAATATTTTTTTTGTTTTTCAACAAATCATATTCAAACAAGCTTAAAGTTAGTATATTAACAATAAAAAAAAATAACAAAAAGGAATTCTAATCTTTCAAGTTAGACAAGTGTTATTTCATTGTTTAAGATTTGACTATCATAAGTTTAATTTATTATAAAAATTTTCATCTGAGAAGATATGTGCAAATACATGTACTAGGTAGCAAACACAGACTTTCTTGATGAAAAAAGATGCACATTTCTGAAACATTTTAAAAGAATTTTTATTGAGCTGTAGAAATTATTTTGAGTTTTTACTTATCTTTTGGTTATCACAGGTTCAGTTGGATATGGTAAGAAGATATTACATTTGTATTTAAATAATTTATTTTCTTTAAAAACCACTTTCTGTAAAATTTGATTTTATCTTCAACAACTGCTCTATTTCTATTGACATTGTGGCCTATAAATAAACCCAATCCTTTTTACAGGTGTGTGTGAGGAGAGTTACTGCCAAACCATTAGCATGTTCTCTTGTGGTTTGTGAAATCTGTGTAGATTCTCCAGACCTGTAATCAGTATATTACTATGTAATACCCGTTCTCCCGTTTCATTAGGACCTGCTCTAGGTAGAGCCATGATACTTTTATTTTTGTACTATTTTCAGTGTACCAGTACAGGAAGTCTGGGTGTTGTCATAAAAACACCAGTATTGTATTTTCTTTAATTCAATTATTTATTCATTTTCACTGGTGATCAAAAACCCTGTTACACATTATATACAGCATAGGGTCTGTTTGTTGTGAGAAAAGATTAATAAAACATTAAACTTTTCTGAGTTTTTTTTTCTACTTGAAATTTAATGTGACTGTGATATAGGATAGTATATTGGACTTGGATCAGACTACTGGTGATGATGGTCAATAGCAGGAACAACTTTATTCTGACTAAAATATTGGATAACAGTTGTGCTGGGCTGACTTTAACAGTACATGTACTAAGGTAGTCAATTGTTTGGGGATGGCTTTATTCAGGCTTTAAAAGTAATAGTAGAAGGCAGGCTATATTCAAGAGAAGGTCCTGATCATTTAAGGGATAGTATACCTGGGACTTTGTCAGACTAGGATCATTTTGCTGTATTTTTTAATACAAAAGAATGATAATTTAGACTTCAGGTAGATTGTTCTAAAGAGTGAAAAAATACAATCTCTGCACTGACCCTGAGTTACTATTAAATCCCCTCATGTGTCAAATGTCAATTAGGATTTCAGAAGAAATACCATATGTGCTTACGAATATAGAACTGCATTGGGATAATAGAGGGCTGGCATTAGTCAGATTAAGGCAGTGGATAGGAGAGGGATGAATTTCTTAGAAACAAGGCACTGTATAGCGAGTCATCTCTGCGGGTGTTAAATTTGGCATTTTGCCTGCTTAAAGGTTGATGCCAAGAAATTTTGCCTAATTTATTTTAGCAAACAGTACGTGTTTTAGCTCTTTGCAGGTGAACACTAAGAAGAGTAATGAATATTTTAGTGATTAAAATTTAGTGGGCTACCATCAAAATGCCAAAAGAAGCCAAAATTAGCACCCTGCTAAAATAACCCACTAAAGGGTAGTTGATAATATGGAGCTGGCTTTAGAAGTCACGATATACAATGCAAAATGCCTTGTTGTAGAAGGGGCTTTACATTCATGAACAAGTGAACTCGGACAATTTAAATGGGTTGGTAGTTAATAATTTATCAAATGTATGGAGTTCAGTTTAAAAAAATTTACATTAAGAATACTTGCCTTTCATTGATAAAATTGTGTGTGTATTCTTAAATCTTAAACGTTGCCTGATAAAATTTATTTCTTTGAAACATTCTGGCATCCAAGGATATGATAGGCCGATTGCACTGTACACTATGGCTTGTTATAGATTTGATGCATAAAGCAGCATAATTATGCTTAAAAAATTCATACCAGTGTTCTTGTCCAGAAAATAAGGAGTTTATATCTCACAACAGCTGCACGTTTAATAGTATGCACTGAATCCACCTATAGAGCAGTGAACAGATGCTGTTTATGTACGAGTACTTCCTTTTAAATTTACTCTGTAAAATTAATCTTAAGGCAAATACAAGCATTATTAGGGCCCCGCAAGGATTTGATAAAATTGTGTGTGTATTCTTCCGTCCACAAATTTTCTGTTTTTTCCTAATTGTAGTCCAATTAAGTTCAAATTTGGTATGGTAGTTCAGTAGGCAAAAAGACATATTTTGATGTTAAGTTTGTTTTTCTATGTCCTCTGGTTTGGAGCTGAGTGTGGGGTAGATTCCTTTACTTTATATAAGAATGAATTGGCAAAGAGAGATAACTTCTGAAAATGTTCCCATTGTAAACTGAATAGAGCAATGAATGAGTCCCTTGGGATTAATTAGCTTTCCTCCTGAAGAAAATCCAAAGCATTATCTTTATCTGTCACATTGAGATTAATTACCACCTCTGTCTGCAAATGAAGTTTGTTTTGAAGTTAAGTCCATTAGGAATGCTATGAACACTCTGAAATGTGGATTGAAGTATAAATGTTTTTTACTTTATTTTTGTTGAAATACCCTACTTTATTTATTTTTTTATTATTATTTTTTTTTTTTTTTTGGCTTCAAAAAATATTTTTAATTTTTAAGGCAGTAGGATAAAAACCTCATTCTATCATTACTGAAAAAGTTCTTATTATAAATTAAAGAATAAAATGATGAGAGAGAAGTACAATTAATCCCTTGGGATTAATTATCTGGCCTGCTGCAGAAAATTTAGAAAGCTTATCTTTATCTGTCACTTTAAGATTAATGAAAACTTTTGTCTGCAACTGCTGTTTGTTTTGAAGTTAAGGTCATGCCTTCATGATATATATTTGCATTCATTGAAGGCTGGCATTTTATATAACACAAGCTCCATTATTGTTTAGATATACATTCAGTGTTGAGTTGTTCTTTACTGCCTTAGGTAAAATAAATACAAGGATATTATTTACAGGTTTTTGGATAATCAGGAATTTTAAATTTTAAGAATACAGTTGCTGTTTCTTAATATATTTATTAATCATTCCATAAGCTGCACCCTTATAATTCTACAACTGCAGTTTTCTATCCATCATTTGGTAAACATGCAGTAATGTTAAGTTAAATGGGACCAAGAAAAAATGTGAGACATCACAAGGCCCAAAATAGGAAGGGTAGAATACTTAAAGAAAAAGTGCTTGGGACTTCCAAATCAGTGACATATACATGGTATTCAAGATATCAGTGTTAGATATACCAAAGTGTAGCTTTATAGTTTGAAAGTAGTTAAGATAAAAAACGTAAATTTTTGAAAAAGATTTAGTTCAAAATTCAAATATATATTTATATTCCTTTCAAAAATTAAGAATGATAAACTACTCTATTTGTTTCCCACTGCATAGCTAATTTACTCAAAACATTCAATGACTTCAGGAAAAAACAAAAACTGGAAAAACCTACACATTTCTTATCCCTTGTTTTATTGAATCATCCTTCCTTGCATTCTTAATTATTTTCAATCATCCTCAACATTCACACACTTGGTTTGTGAATAATACACATGTATATAGGTATTCCCCATAATCCTTTTTCTTCTTAAATATCATATAATGGGAATGTTTCACACAATTATGGTCTCTGCATGTTCAATTTTTGGATATTGTATTGCCCACCCCTCACACTTCTTCAACAGCCATCCTGGACACATACTCTTTATATAAAATTGTCCCTTTTTCTGGATCTACAGCAGCTGAAAGCATTTCTTCTAATTCTTCCTGCTGGAATGGTTCACCTAGAAAGAAACCATATTGTCATAAAAATTGTCAAGATATATGTAACATTCATTCAAATGTTTCTAAGACACTATCTGTTAATTCAGTAAAAGATTTTCTCAAAATTGATCTTAAACTATTGTAAAGCACACAAGTTTAAAGGGGTAAAGAATCTCATATATGTATTGGTAGTTTATTATCCCCTTGCATCAGAGTTGGAGGGGATATAGTAACACAATTGTGAGTGTGTTTATTGGTAAATGAGTTAATTATGTGTGAAACAGAAGTGATTTTATTGCATAGGGAATGATATCAAATACTGCCTAGATTTATAGATCAGCTTTTTTTAAAGGATGCTCCACCTTGCCATGCCCTTGTTCCAGTATGTGTCTAAAGTATTTTTCTTTTTCTTGCTAGTGCCAATTTGGCAAGGACTTTTTTAAAAATATTCAATCATCCTATACATGTAATATGGGCCATAATTTGGGCTCTATGTCCTGGTGTCAGGCTATTGAGTTTTAAAAAGATTGTGAAGTACATACAAACTATGCAGAATACTGTAGAAATAGAGCAAAAGTTGAAGTATTTACCATCTTCTGTCATATACTTGGCTAGTTCATCTTGTGTAAGATACCCCTTTCCCTCTTGGTCTAACACAAGAAATGCTTTTAAGAGAACATCTTCTGGTGAAGGTTTGTACCTGAAATGGTAAAAAGTTGTTTTTCTTCAAACAGTTAAGGTCAGAAAAATAAAAAATATTGTGTTTAACAAGAGATGTTTGTAAAACACTTATGCCTCCCTCTCCAAAATTGGAACTTTTCCAAGTCCAAGGGCACACAACTCTGTCAAAAATGGTGCGATTGTATCCAAAACAGAAGTTGTCCTAGATATTTATCTGATAAATCTGTATACCAAATTTCATTTCAGTAAGTGCAACCTCTGCCAAGAAAATGAATGGAAACGACAAATAATTTGAATTTTTCTAAGTCCACGGGGCATAACTCTGTCCAAAACGGCGCAATCGTACCCAAAACAGATCTTGGCCTAGATATTCATCTGATAAATCTATATATCAAATTTCATTTCAGTATGTGCAATAATTGTGAAGAAAATGAACGGAAACTAAATGGACCGACAGACCAACATACCGACATACAGCAGCAAAGCAATATGCCCTCCCTTCTTCGAAGGGGGGCATAACAATAAAAGTTGATCAGGATAAGAAAGTGGTAACTAACCTCCTTTCCATCAAAACTTTTGTCATCATTGATAGAAATTTTTCAAATCTAATATAGCCTGCCTCATCCTCTTCTTCAATCTGAAAGCAAAATTAATAAAATTGGACATAGTACATGTACATGTAGAATAATTAGTGCTGGGTATCGCGACAGAAAAATTGTATCGCGATATATTGCAATATTATATTTTGTATTGCAATATATCACGATATAAATATCTAATAATTTTTTGCTTTTTGTCAAGGTTAAATGAAAACACAAACTCAAATTACATGTGTTCTCAAGTTGATATTCCAATTGCCTGATCGCGTTATGTCGGTGCAAGCGGCAAGATAAGTTTTGTTTTTGTGGCAACTTGTTGAATTCAATTAAGTTGCAATACTCAGATTCAGCTTTAACATGAAGGGGTTTCATATAACAGTTATCATCGTTTCGTTTTTGAAAGAGTCATGTCTCTGGTTTCTGATTGGGCAAAATAACTCTTTTTGTAACAATTTAGAGCATATCGAACCCGAACCGGTATTCACAAAAAAATACCGCGATACGTATTGTGAAGAACGAAATTGGGATACACCGGTTAACCGGTAATATCGCACAGCACTAAGAATAATACCACAGAAGTGAAAATTTAATTTGAAAAAATGAAACAAACTTTTTTAAAATAGTAAAATTGAAAATTTAATTACCCCTATATATATGTAAATTTTGTGCACAATCCACCTACCTCTACCAGCATATCTGTGAGCTCAGCCTCTGTGGGACAACAGCCCAGAGAACGAATGATAGTGCCAACCTCTCTGTTATATAATGTAAAACTGATCAGTCAATGTATGGGACAAAGATAGTGAAGAAGTGGTGTTTATTTTTTTTTTTAATGCATATGCTTTAGAAGATTTGACAATTACATGAACATAAAATGCCAAAAATGATATTTTCTTACTTTAATTTTTGCATAATAACTTCACCCAGATCTATTTTCTAAGTGCTGGATCAAAGCTTTATGGCAAGAAGCCCAAAATGTCTTACAAATATCTTACATTCTTGTCTTATATTCCGCTACCCCACTAGTGAATTAGATTTTTCCAGTATGTGGAAGAGTTGTCCTCTATTTCAGACAAGTTAAGCAATGGTGAGCCTGTGTAAACTTTGGATAGGTTACACTAGTGTAACAATTAAGAAACTGTCATCCATCCAAAAGTTATACACTTAAAAGTTTTTTGATAGCTAAATCCTACCATGTTTGAGATCATGCCGTGTACATACTCCTGGCCCTCAATAAAATTTTGGCTTATCATAAATGTGGATTAATCGTTTCATTTTGTTGTTTAAATAGCAAAGCATTGTTGTTACCAACCTTACATCCACTGTTTTATTGTTTTCATTGTCGAATATTTCAAAAGCTTCTGTTATTCTTTTGTGGATATCCGCAATGAGCGAATCTGTATAAGACAAAGAGACAAAAATCTTTTAATATATGAAATATGAGAAAAAAATAATATATTTTGTTTAAATTTGCAGTAAATAGTTTTAAGAGACGAACAGGTTTTTGGCATAAAATTCAAAATCATAGAAAAAACACATTCCCCATGTGGTTATATGAATTTGGATGACATGTGCTTCAGAATGCATTCAACTAAATGATACACATATATATTTAGATGTTTTAACTCTTTGTGAAAACAATATGTCAGACTACCTCTAATAAATGAAGAGGAAAATTATATACAAGTGGAATAACTTGTAAATTACCTGCGTTTTCTTTTGTTTCGTCCGCCATGTTGTTTACGATGGTTGCTAATTGAAAACACGGAATAAGAAATGGTAAAACGAATATCTGCGATTTTTCATTTACATATCTTAAAAAAACAAATTTAAATATAAATGCTTGTTTGCATAAAAATATTTTTAGAAAGTTTGCTCATTTTTTCAAAGTAAGAAAATATGGTAAAATTTATTTATTTCGTTTTGGGGAAAATATCCAAGATGTCTGCCTCCATGAAAAAGAGAAACTGATAACAAGTGTCATAACACTAAAAATCTTTTTTCGTCTGAATGACCTACCGCCTAAATAATGTCATCTTACAAAGACAGTATTTTGGGGGCAAAGGTTATTGATTTACACAAAATAGTCGAAAATGGACGTCAGCGTTTCATTTGTTTTACAAAAATGGGAACAAATTGGTCTCTTAATGTGACGGACGGTCTTGATATCTGGCGGCTTGAGATGGATGAAGATGAATTTGAGTCACATAGAGAATTGTCAGAGACTTCATCAAATGAGGCATTTTTATTGAAAATTAGGTAAAAAAAGCTCTGCGTGTCCAATAGCGTTTTAATTTTATCATTTAAATTGATAGGGGAAATTAGATTTATAAATTTTATCAGAAGTAGGATATTTTCCAATGAAATTACATTTGTATATTATAAAATACAGTGAATCTCGGTTATGAAAACCTCAGAAAGAAAGCTCAAGGAAATGGCACTGAATAACAATACCGTCCGGTATATGTGGCACCAAAACAAACATGTTCTGACTCTGTGTCAGGAAATCTAAATACACTATCATCTGTGGTGTTTGATTTAAAGAATAATCAGGAAAGTTTGAGGCACATGTTTGAGTCCAAGTTAGATAAATCAAAAACTGCATGGAAAATGTTGAAAGAAAAAAAAAATGATCATTGAAGGATGAGATATCTTTTGACATGAACATATTTCAGCCAAAGAAATTAATTTCCCTTTATCAATTATATAGCATAAAAATTGTTTGGATCCTATAAAATATCTTTTTGTTTTAATTAAAACATTTTTGTACATAGGCACTTTGCAGGAATGCAGGAGTTTTTCCCCAAAAAATTTTAATTTATATAGACAATGATTTGTATTTAGTCTAATATAATAGTTACATTATTTTTAACAGGAAAGGCTTTACAGATGGAGATCTTTCTGTTGCAATGATTGGAAACAAAATTACTCTTACCATTGGAAAGGGAGTGAGTGCATTGACTTTTGACCTATATGAATGCAAGGCCGCTGAGAAGAAAACAGAACTACAAGAACTTTTGTTTAAATTAGCAATGTCCTCTTCAAAACTTGAAGAAGAGCTTGCAGTAGCAAACAAGACCATAGACACCCTGAAGTCCCAAACTGCTAATACTGGTGCAGGAAATTCTGCCCTAGATATAGGCTCTAAAAGAGAATCCCATGCCAAACCCAAACCCAAAAAAGTCGGCATGAGTGTTGTGAATCCGACCAGCAAAAAGAGGAAGGCTGCCCATGGTGTAGTTTTTGACTAAATTGTAGTTGGAACCACATTTTATTTTTATTTTTCTAAAAAAAGGCAGCTCATCTCAAACTTCATACAATGCACTTCAACTGTTGAATTGAAAGTATCTTGCTTTGTTTGTGAACCAGTTTCTTTATCTTTAAATTTTTGTACATACATGTATGTATTTGTATTTACATTAATACTTACTTATGGTTACTTATGGTATTTTTCCAACACAGGTCCTGTCAAGGTCCTCTTCGTCGGACTCCAAACTTGCTTTGTAACTACTTGGGTGACTACCGGTGTAATCGGTTTTAAAGTCTACTTTGTAGTTATAGAGCACATCCTGGTCCTTCCAGAAGTTGTCTAGTCTATTCTTGAAAGTATTCAGAGTTTTAGCACTAACAACGTCCTCTGGTAAGCTATTCCATAGACTGACAGTTCTAACACTGAAGCTGAATTTTCTTATATTGAGTCTCGGTCTCTGTACAAATAGCTTCTTGGAATTCCCTCTTCCTTGTTCCCTCATAACGTGGTCTCTCCTTAACTTGATAAAGTCTGCTGCTAATGGGTCATACTTTCCACTTGTTATTTTGTATACTTCAATCATATCTCCTCGGTGGCGCCTGTACTTCAGCGTTGGTAGTTTTAGTTTCTTCAACCTTTCTTCATAGCTTAATTTTGCCAATCCTGGAATCTGCTTGGTAGCTCTTCTCTGCACTCCTTCAATCATCTCTATGTGTCTTGATTTGAAAGGGAACCAGACCGAACTCGCATAGTCTAAATGTGTCCTGACAAGTGTCTTATAAAGAGGAATGAAAGTTTCTTCATCCAAATGTTGAAACGTTCGCCTTAACATTGCAAAAATAGAGTTTGCCTTTTTCACCTTCTCGCTTATGTGTCTGTCAAAGCTGAGTTGTTCATCTATGATGACTCCTATGTCTTTTTCCTCTTGTACCTTCTCCAGAGTGCGTCCTAACAGCTCGTACTCAAAGTCTTGGTCTGGGTCTTTCTTTCCAATGTGCATGTGTTTACATTTATCTGGATGGAACTTTAGGAGCCAGGTGTTACTCCATTCTGTTAGTTTCTCAAGATCTCTTTGAAGTGTCATTTTATCTTCCCTACCCTTAACTATATTGAAGATTTTCGTGTCGTCGGCAAATAGGTACACAGTAGAGCTCACGATATCAGGGAGATCGTTGATAAATATAACGAACATTATCGGCCCAATTACTGACCCCTGTGGAATGCCAGAAGTTACGTTATGCCATTTTGATGTTGCCCCGTTTATGGATACTTGTTGTTTCCTTCCACTTAGGTAGTTCCTTATCCAGTCTACAAGTTCTTTCCCTATTCCATGTTCCATGCTTAATGTAAGCATTGTGTTAACCCTTCATTTCATTTTTTACCTTTCAATATACATGTACATTCATTAGGGTACTACTAGGGTGTATTGAAAAATTACATTTTTCTGTGTCATTTTAATTTACCCTTTGTATTTCAATTTGGTTACAAATTTCCTGCAAAAATTTCCCTAGTGTATTTAGAGTACATTTAAGGAATCCTGAGTCAAACTAAAATAACAATAAAAATTTCTAACAATAGATCAAATAGAAATTGTGATTCTGCAGAATTATAATCCAGTGGTAAAAGTATTCCTCATGTAAACGGAGAAAAAGATCTATACTACAATAAATATGGCATTTTAGAGATGTGTTATCCTTGCCTATCTTTCTTGATCATTCATGCATTAAATGAAAATACCAAACTATTGTTATTTAAAACTTAAAATATTTTAGTTTATATTTTATTTCAAATATGAAACAATACATGTCATGACAAAAAAAGAAAATATTCAATATTTATTTGTACACCGTATATAAATAACTTGTCATATACATATTAAAAATATACAAGTCAACTTGGCTAAACCATGGTATAAAAACATGAAATAAAACTATAACATAACTATAAACTATACGGCATAACAATTCCAACAATATAGATTTATTACATTGTGATTTAAAACAGTAAAAGGAGTTTACACATACACATAAGAAAAGGTTGTTTTACAATAGCATTTTAAATATTAACAATCTTATATCAATATGGTAACAACTTCAAATCCTGCAATATTTACTTGATTAAGTTTAACACTGTAATGAATTTCTTTTCTGAAGATGATAAATTTTATTGCACTTATCAAAATAGAACTTGACTGAATTGTTGATACTACATTTTATCATTTAGGGTGTATTAAATCTTCATTTATATATACATGTACATGTGTAGATTTAGTTCCAATGTGAATTTATGTATGTTTGTCTTTGAAGAGGATCTGCGTTGCTTTTTCAACGTCCCTAGAATGTGAAGTAATTTGTGCCAAAGGTGGCTGAATAAGAAGTTTTATTTGCTCATAACTCAAGAACATCAACACATTCCATGTACCAATTCTTAGTAATGCAGGCAGAAATCTGGAAGTGAAAATAGACTTTGTATTTCAGATTAACTGGAATATAAATTTAAAATAATACAAGAGGCCCATGGGCCACATCGCTCACCTGAGTAACTTGGGTGATGCAGTTCTTTACCAGATTCCCCATCTTGCTATACCTATCATGCCCCACTACCCCCTTCCCTTTTATGATTTTAAAACTTTAGAATCTACACTATCCCAGGATGCTTCCATATAAGTTTCAGCTTTCCTGGCCCTGTGGTTCTTGAGAAGAAGATTTGTTCTATATATTTCTATGTAAAACATGGATTCCCTATTGTGGCACCGCCCTACCCCCAGGGGTCATGATTTTAACAATTTAATATCTACTCTATTAATATCTACACTACCCAAGGATGCTTCCATATAAGTTTCAGCTTTCCTGGCCCAGTGGTTCTTGAGAAGAAGATTTTTAAGTATTTGTTCTATATATTTCTATGTAAAACTTGGATTCCCTATTGTGGCCCCGCCCTACCCCCGGGGGTCATGATTTTAACAATTTAATATCTACACTACCCAAGGATGCTTCCACGTAAGTTTCAGCTTTCCTGGCCCAGTGGTTCTTGAGAAGAAGATTTTTAAAGATTTGTTCTATATATTTCTATGTAAAACTTGGATTCCCTATTGTGGCCCCGCCCTACCCCCGGGGGTCATGATTTTAAAAATTTAAAATCTACACTACCCAAGGATGCTTCACATAAGTTTCAGCTTTCCTGGCCCAGTGGTTCTTGAGAAGAAGATTTTTAAAGATTTGTTCTCTATATTTCTATGTAAAACTTGGATTTCCTATTGTGGCCCCGCCCTACCCCCGGGGGTCATGATTTTAAAAATTTAATATCTACACTACCCAAGGATGCTTCCACATAAGTTTCAGCTTTCCTGGCCCAGTGGTTCTTGAGAAGAAGATTTTTTTAGTGACCCCACCCATTTTTTGTCTTTTCTTGATTATCTCCCCTTGTAAGGGGACTTGGCCCTTCGTTTTAACAATTTTTAACTCCCCTTCACCCAAGAATGCTTTGTACCAAGTTTGGTTAAAATTGGCCCATTGGTTGTTGAGAAGAAGTCGAAAATGTGAAAAGTTTACAGACGGATGGACGGACAGGCAAACGGACGGACGACGGACAAAATGTGATCAGAAAAGCTCACTTGAGCCTTCGGCTCAGGTGAGCTAAAACTTGTTGATATTATACAAATTTTTGACAAGATGTTTTAATTACATACCCTTTATAAAAACCTCTAAAGCCACCTGCCTTCCATAGCTCTGTGGCACAGTGAATGACATTTCTGTACCGAGATGACGAGGAGTTCATGTAGCGAGTCTTTACTACATCAACTGGGGAAGCGACAACAGTTGCGCAAAATCCCGCCGCAAACGCTGACACCAAGTGACACTGAACCCCCTCTGACATGACGTCACTACCTATCAAATGACTTTTAATGACATCATAAGTAACAACTTCTGCTACGTTTACAATGCCGTTCCTTGACATATTTGGTAAGCAACCTAAAAAAAAAATTATGCACAAGATACAAAATAAGAAGAAAAAGTACTAAAATGTGAGGCATTGCATTTCAAAAGAAGTGTATTTATCCTCATGTTACCACGCCAGAGTCCTTTCACCCCCTCCGTGTTATATATCTTCTTGTATGCATCAGAAGTGCTAGCATACCGAAGGTTGTTGCCACTCTGAGCCTGCATGCGAACTTTGACGGTGTCGGTTGGATGCGCAACCGCAACAGAAAGTATCCCCGTTGTGACTCCCGCCAAAATTCGGATTGAAACAGGGGTTCTGTTTGGTTTATTGTCCTCTATTTGAATTAGGAAACAGAAAAAATTATTAATACCAATAAACCCGTCCAACATATATTACCGATAAAGTTGATAAAGTTTCTGTTTTATAAAGTTTATTACTACCTGTTAATAAAAGATTTGCGTACAACTTCTTGACATCGTCATAGCAGCCGAGTTTTATTGTGGAGAAACAGAGTTGCCGCTGTAAGCCCGCCATTAGTCCTCTGTACAATCCTCTTCCGCCTTCCTCGTGGAAAATTGTCAGAATCGTCCGAACAACGCCAGAGTACTTACTATGAAAACCAACATCACCCTGTACCTACAGTAAATAATGGTTACTTGTCAGCTTTAATACAAATATGAAGTGGATCAGTTTCTTAATCAAAAAAAAAAAATGAATAACTCAATAAATAAGTTTATTTTATGGTACAATATTTCTATACAATCAGAAGTAGCTGTAGTCAATAGTTGAGAACAAGAATCAGGATTTATAATTTCCCTGCCTGAAAGACTTTGTTATCAGCTCGTAAAAAATGGCATAAAGTTTGTCAGAGGTCCCACAGTCACGAGTGGGCTCAGGTCCCCTGACGTGAGGATGCTGTCGTTGTTTCAACGAGAAGACCTAGTAGAATAACAATCTTATAAAATAGTCGCAAAGACTAGATTATCAATTAAAACTTCATGGCTAACCTGTAGTCTGACTTTGGTAGTATCAAGAGGAAATGTAACCACGTCAGCTATGCAGGCCCCAGTCCCAGCACTGACCAGTTTGATCCAGAGAGGAGCGTCAGTTCTAACCACCTTTACTCCCAATGCTGGCTCAGGGCTCAGTCCCCAGTGCCCTTGATTGGATTTTGTCATTCTTTGAATCTGTCATCAAGTTTAGTCTTTACA